AGTTATCCAACCGAAAGCACCATCATCGTCATGGGTTCATTTTCAAAGCAGCCTCATAGCATCATAAGCATCCGCACTTAAAATACAACCAGAATTATGAAATCATACACTCTGAGTTAGACAGCACCATGAAATTACCTAGACTGGCACCTACCACCCACCTAGTGAATGAATCCACTGAATTTGTGTCCCATGAATATGTGAATAACCACAGTGATAAGGAATTGATCATGAATTTTACCCCATTTTTAAAATTAATCTAATTGGTAGAAGCATCTTTATTATTTGATTTGGAATCATATGGTGTCTAATTCTTCTTCCATAAGAAGCCTAGTAGTAGTTTCTAATCCCCATGCCAATCCCAATTAGTTGATTTGGCCAACCATGGACCCTGGCCTGTGTGGGAATTTGAACCTACATTCAGATTTGTTCCTGAACAGGGCATGATTCAGCGGCTATGCCTGCCAGGAATTCTCAGAAAGTGGCAACACGCATGGTAGGTTTTTCATTCCAAACTCAGACTGTTTAAAGGCGACTATAATAGTTCTGCCACCTCTGTGTTAAATGGGACCTCTGTGAACATCTGATCCATAGGAACAGCTAATAAAAGCCTCCCAAGTGGGCTCAGGCACAGCTTCTAGTGCTCCACGCGTGGATTTTGCTTGGACATTGTGGACAACGTCCACCTGAAAACCATCATAACATGCCTCTCCTTTCCCACCTGACTCTTGGTTTGCTGGATTTCAGTGCAGGGTCTCCACTGCTCCTGTTAAACTTCATCTAATTAGGTTTAGCTTTCAGCATATAAAATTGTTTTTTAAATATACTGAGGTTCCAGTGGTTCTTACACTTACAAGTCAGTGTTTCAACACCAAAACAAATCCTAAATATTAAAATACACTGAAGGATGTACAAGTAGAACCTGCAACAAAGAGATAACCAGCTCACTTCAGAAGAAACCTCACCTGAGTCTTAGGTTCTAAGACAGGATTCAACTTAAGACTTAGTCCTCTTCTAAGACTCAGCCGCAAGGCCTGTTCTCGATGAAAGTTTCCCTAATTAATCAGTCTTAAGGAATCACCCCACAGCAATCAAATGCTTGGCATTTGCCACTTCATGAGTTATCTTTTTTCTCTCCCTTCCACCGGTCTGTACACTCTGAAACAACAATCAGGTCTCCTGCATTTTGCTATCTATCTAAGGTTAGGTTGTCTAGGAAACAGGAATAAGACAAAGACTCTACTGAAATGTGTTGCCCTTTGGTGAACGCAGGTGGAAAAAAAGGGACAATGCAGGGAGGGGAGACAGAGGGCTTAGTTGCAATCTTACCTTGGGCTGACTCCAGGGAACAGAGAGATGGCAGAGGACTGAAACATCGCAAAGGGCAGGCTTCTCTATACCCGGCCGGTCAGTGATTGGGCCTGGCTTCCACGAGGAGGGCGTGAACACCGACTGTACCTCACAGCTGAGCACAGCTCTCCGGCGTCTTCAGCCACAGGCTGTGAGCAGCCTGCACTCAGAGCAACTGGATGAGGGTCTTGGGAGGAGGACCAAAAGCACCTGCTGCAGAGTCCCTTCAGAACCCAGCACGGCATCCGCACACACGAGATACGATAAATGTTTGTTGATCGAGTTGTTTGACCAAAAGAGCAACTTTTCTATTCGGTAACCTTTTATTTTCAGTTATTACTCAGTTTGCTCTCGGGCTTGTGAAGCCAAGGTTGGCAATAATTGGGTAATTTGGCATTAAAGAGACAAAAGGAATTAAAAAAAAACCACTAGATGTCATAAAACTTGAATCCTATACTATTTGCGAAAAGTAATTCTATGGAATTTTTGGCCAGTGATTTATTATTTAGCCAATAAGAATATTGGCTTTTATTTAGTGTTGAGAAAGTATGATTTGCCTTCAAAAGCTGTTAAAAGAATTTAAAGAGGAAATCATTGATATGGAAAAAAGGATGTAAAATTCTTTAATTTTTTAGAGAATCTTCTGACTGAAAACATATCACCAAGATTTTAGGAAATTTTTAACAGTGTCATGCTTACAGAAATGACTCCAGTACAATATGAAGTTTTTTCTTTTCTGGGTCATTTAGAAGTTGCCACTATTCATGACACCCTATCATCCCAAATACTTTAATTTGGATTAATTTAAGGCTAAAATGCTGCAGTACCACAATGCAACCACCAAACTCAGGATATTAACACAGATACATTGCCCTGACCAGATCCTCCATTCCGGTTTCAGCAGCTGTCGCGCTAATATCTGTCATTCGGCACTCGGGACATCAGGTCAGGGGCACACGTTGCTTTTGGCTGCCGTGTCTCTCACTTACTAGATGAGAATATTCTGGACAGTTCCTCAGCCTCTGCTTGATTTCCATTTTGAAGACTACACACAGTTGTGCTTGGGCCTCACCCTGATTTGGGTCTGCCTCACTCGGCTTCAGGATTAGAGGCAGGTGTGTCTGTGACAGGACGCCCATGGTGCAGCTGTGTTCTCTGCCTTCTCAGCCTGCCCCACTACTGAAGACAGCAACTTTGGCTTCTTGTCCTGTAGGGCTTCTCTACCACATCATTACTGTTCTCTCCTTTATAATTATTTTGTAAAAAGAAGTTTTTGAGATGATGTAAGTATCTGATCCCTTATTAATCTACCAACTTACTTTCTACTTACATCCAGATGGAATTATGGTTTTGTATATCATTCAATGGCTCATGTTACTGTCATTACTTATTTTATGATGAATTTGCCCCAAAGAAAGCCAGCAGGAGTACCTACAATTCCCATCCTATGAACATTTTGTTGTTGTTGTTCTGGGGCGAAATCAAATGGTCTGAAACATCCTCTGCTTTCCCTGTTCCACTTCTGAAGGACCTCCCTGCTGCTACCCCTTCTCCTCTGATTCATCATCCCTCTCCAAACACCACCAGCAACCATGCCCACCTGTCCCAGCCTCAACTAATGGTTTTATTTTTTTTTTTTTATTTGACAGATAGAGTTAGACAGTGAGAGAGAGAGACAGAGAGAAAGGTCTTCCTTCCGGTGAATCATTCCCCAAATGGCCGCTATGGCCGGCGCTGCGCTGATCCGAAGCCAGGAGCCAGGTGCTTCTTCCTGGTCTCCCATGCGGGTGCAGGGGTCCAAGGACTTGGGCCATCCTCCACTGCACTCCCGGGCCACAGCAGAGAGCTGGCCTGGAAGAGGAGCAACCGGGACTAGAACTGGCGACCATATGGGATGCTGGTGCTTCAGGCGGAGGATTAACCAAGTGAGCCATGGCACCGGTCCCGAAAATGGGCATCTTATACATGGGTAAAGTAGGATCCCTGTCATCGGTGTGGATGGGAAGCAAACAGGAAAGGTTGGGTTGTGCGTGTGTCAAAAAGGCCAGGGGCCAAGCCAGAATTAGTAGGTGGGCTGCTGTTTGGGGTATACATGCTCACCATGGAACAACGAAAAAAGAAAGTGTGTAGACTTAATTCATCATCAAAATGTGTGTTTTTATACAATGAGAACTCTGGAAAGTTCATAAACAAATCAGCAAAGCTGACTCAGCCTCCATGTTGTCATCAGGAAACTAACAGCCAGGTCTTAGACGGCCTGGCTGTCCACTCTCTCTCCTGGTGCTCATCTAACTCATGTCTACAGGGCACCTTGGGCTATGAAGTAAAAGCCACAAGGTCAGATCAGGCATTTGGCCCAGTGGTTAAGATGCCCACATCTGGCTGGCGCTGCACCCCAGGTTGTATTCACAGTTGGGGCTCCAGATTCTGTCCCGGTTGCCCCTCTTCCAGGCCAGTTCTCTGCTGTGGCCCGGGAGTGCAGTGGAGGATGGCCCAGGTGCTTGGACCCTGCACCCGCTTGGGAGACCAGGAGGAAGCACCTGGCTCCTGGCTTTGGATCAGCGCAGCGCGCCGGCCACAACGCACCGGCCGTAGCGGCCATTTGGGGGCTGAACCAACGGAAAAAGGAAGACCTTTGTCTCTGTCTCTCTCTCACACTAACTCTGTCTGTCCAAAAAAAAAAGATACCCACATCTCACATCAGAATGTCTGGCTTCAGTTTCAACCTCCAGTTCCTAACTCCAGCTTTCCGCAATTGCAGACCCCAGGAGGCAGCAGGTTATTGGGTTCCTGTCACCCAAGTGGGAGACCAGGATTGAGTTCCAAGCCCAACAGCCATTGTAGGCATTCAGGGAGTAAACCATTGGCTGAGAGCTCACTCTCACTCTCTCTCGCTCTCTCTACCTCCCTCTCAAATAAATTTTTTTAAAGCCACAAGGTCAAAAGCACAGGACTCTGTGCCAGTCGTCCAGTGTAGTAATCTTAGGCAATCTTCTCAACCTCTTTTGTCTTTGTTATCTCCACAGGAGGATGTGCAGGATAAAGCAAACAGAATTTCAAGTTTGGAACAAATGATGGTGACACACGGATTCTTACCCTCCACCCCCCAACACACCCACACCCACACACACACACACACGCTTGGACTTCTTAGGTGCTGGACTTGGTCCTCCTCAGACACCCACAGGTCTGCTCCCTCAGCTCCTCACACCGTGTGGGCATCTTGTCATGTCCCTGCCCAGGACCCTTTTCAAAGCTGCACATCTCTGACTTGCCATCTTCTGTTTTCCCTTTTTCATTTTCTCTTTAGCACCCATCACTGCCAACACATGTGGGAGACATGAATTTGAGTCCCTGCATCCCGGCTTTGGGCCTGGTCCTGGTTCAGCCCTGGCCAGTGCAGGCATTTGGGGAGTCAAGCAATGGATAATTCTCCTTCTGTATCTCCCCCCCTTCATCCCCACTCCCTCCACACACCCACCCCAAGCCACCCCCACCTCCAGCCACTGTCTCTCTCTGCCTTTCAAATAGTTTCTTAAAAATAAAAAGCTTCATATTCGAGTTTAGGTTTGACACTGTTCGTGCTGGAAACAGCAGAAGTGACAGGGCCGTATCTCACTGCAAAGAACAAAACACTCCTCAAGCCAAGCGAGTTTGCATATAACGTATTTATTTCATGTATGTTTATATATGCACATATAAATAAAAAATAGTGTTGTCTCATGGCGCGGACAAGTCTGGTCAGTGAGGAACAGTCGCACACGATGGGAGGCCTCATTTAAGGAGCCTTATCTGTTAAAATATTTTAAAAAGAAACCCACACTTTGAAAAAGAGCACGCAACAGAAGGCGGGTGAGGAATGTTTTAGAACACTGGCGTGTGGCCGCCCTGGCGTGGAGGGTGCTAGGCTGAGGGAAACCGCGGCGAGGTCTGCCTCAGCGCGATCCACCTGCTCAGCCTCTGAGCCCACGGCCGACCCAGGTGACGCCGACGCTGCCCGGCCCAGGGCAGTCCCGCAGCCCTGCTGCCCGCTGTGGCCCGGTCCTTGGGAGGCTTCCCACAGCCTCGGGATCAGCAATGGCTGCCTCTTCCTGCACACAACCTACGGGGCGGGTTTACTCAGAAACTCCTTGTTGAAGAATCTTCTCGCCTCGACGTTACTGAGGGAAACAGAGCAACGAGATGGGTTCTGTCTCCTGTATTCAATGCTTTCCACCATGGCGTCCTTTATCACCTGTGGACAGAGATGGAAGGGGTGGGATCAGTGTGTGGTCAGTTCATTGAAACATCTCTCTGGGAGGTGGGGGTGGGGGCCCAGGGTTAGGACGTGGTGGAGGAGCCTGCTTCCCGTCTCAGAGTGCCAAGGTGCGAGTGCCGTCTCATCTCCCAATTTCAGCTTCCTCCTGATGCACACCCTTGGAGGAGACAGTGACGGGTGAGGTGGCTGGGTCCCTGCCACCCACGTGGGACACCCAGATTTGGTTCCTGACTCCTGGCTTCAAACAGTCCCAGCCCAAGCCATTGTAGGCACTTGGGGAGTGAACCAGTGGATGGGAGATCTCTCTCTCTCAAAAATTAAAAAAAAAAAAAATTGTAAAGCCAAAGATTTAATTGATCCTCTTACTAGAGATTTCTTTTTGAAATACAGGATGAAACCTACAAGCCCTGGTTATCCATCTGAATTCCACACCTGCTAAACTTCCTTGCCTGCTCTTCCCCCACCAGAAGAGAATCCTGGAGGCGCTCTGAGTTCATGCTGGGGAATACAGTGAGTTTCTCTGTTCTGTGCCTCTCAGGGAAGGCGACAGCAGGGAAGAAGCAAGTATTTCCAAGTCTATGACCTATGTCTCCACAGCTAGCAGACAAGGGGATGAGAGCCACCAGGAGGCGCTCCTCCTCTGGGCAGATGCTGTGACAAGCCACCGCGTCCTCTGCTGAGGCAACTCCATGCCCTGTGAAGTCACACTTCACATACGCATAAGCGTCACAGATACCCAGAGTAATGGCTAGAATAACACACAGACAACAATGACCTCTAAGAACTGCTACTGCGGTTTGCACACACCATTTCTGGAAGAAGCTAACCTGGCCACAAACTTGGGAGGAGAGGGGACTTTCAGAACTTGGCAGAAGCAGTCACTACGGAGTTACGGGCGTGGGCTTTGGAGCAAGGCCACTGATGCTCCAGGGCCTTGCACAACATCAGGAATAGGCCACTCCCTTGGACAGGACTAGAGTGACAACAAGGCAAGTCCTCACCCAGAGTTTGCTGAGGGACACAAAGGCAGAGGCACACTTGGCAGTTTAGGGCCCCAGGGCCTCCTCCCACTCAGAGCTGGCAGCCCACATGGCCCTGGAGAAGACTACACAGGGGTTTTCCCCTCCCCACAAGCTGCAGGAGAGACTGCCATGGTGACAAGTCATGCATGAGAAGTGATCTGTGACTTCAGGTCAGGCCCTCCATGCTCTAATAGTAACTAATTTTATTCCACAAGAAGTCGTGTTCCAGAAAGAGGGATCACAGCAGAGTGATTCTCTGATATGCTTTATTTTAAAAATAATATATCTATCGACTGGGGAAAATGGGCTCAAATGTTAGCCAGTCTTTTGAGAAAGGCAGATATTTGTGGACCCCACATTTCATGAGCTGGAGAAACACCAGGGGTCCTCTGGCAGCAGGAAATGGTTCTCCTATGAAGGAGCCACTGACCAAAGGCATCCAGGCCCAGATACTTCTGGGCCATGTGAGGTCAACAGAAATTAGTTCAACTCCTCGAGCATGGTATCCTTTCTTTAAAAAGGGAATAGTATTACCAATCTGGGGATTTGTAGGTATTGGGATCTTTTATACAAAGTGCTTCACACAATGCCTGATATTCAGAAAACATCTCAAAACTAGCATCTATTACTGTTGCTATTCTTTTCAAAAGATTTTTTTTTTTTGAAGGCAAAGTGACAGAAAGATTTTCCATCTACTGGTTTACTCCCCAAATGGTCACAACAACCAGGGCTGGACCAGACACAAACCAGGAGCCTGGAACTCCATCCTAGTCTCCCACATGGGAGAAAGGGGCCCGAGCACTCGGCCATGTTTGGCTGCCTTCCCAGGCACATGAGCAGGGTACCAGGTCAGAAGCAGAAGAGCTGGGATTCAAACCAGCAGTCTGATATGGGATGCCAAGATCCAATGCTGCTGCAGCTTAACCTGGTGTTATTTTTAAATTGGCTATATGTGATAAAAACTTGAAGTGGGGCTAAATTAGAGATGAAGCTATGAAGTTTGCAAGAAATTAACATAATAGTCATAAGTCACCTTATTACGTGGCGTAAGTCAACAAACCAGCTCTGAAGAAGACAACGTTGTGGAGTAGCAGGCTAAGCCACCACCTACAATAGCAGCAGCCCCTACAGGAGCAGCAGTTCGAGTCCCAGCTCTGCTTCCAATCCAGCTCCCTGCTAATTCATCTGAGAAACAGCAATTGGTATCCCAAGAACTTGGACCCCTGCCACCCATGTTGGAGATCCGGATGGAGTTGCTGCCTCCTAGTTTCAGCCTGACCAGGCCCCAGCCACTACAGCCATTTGCAGAGTGAGCCAGCAGACAGAAGCCCTCTCTGTCTCTCCCTCCCTCTGTCACTCTGCCTTTCAAGTCAATAAAATAAATCTTTATAAAAGAAAATTCTACTATTCAAAGTATCCTTCTACACCTAAGAGTCTCTCTGCCTTTCTAGAGATCCACAGAGCAAGTTGTCCACTGTCTCCTTCATAGAGGCTAAAAACATCATCCCAACCTCAGAGAAACACCAAGTAAAATCAAAAGTAACTACTAACTTTCAAATACCTACGAAGCTTTGAAATAGAAAAGGCTACAGGGAACTCACACTGATAATGTCTGCTGTCATTCCTTTATAATGAATTCATGAGCACAAAAACACCAATATCAAGAGCATTAACTCCCGGATTCAGCGTAACTGGACTCAACTGATGTTCCTAGTTAGCAGGCTGTTCTTAGAAAAGAAAATGAACAAGTGTTCATGCGTAACTCTCAGTCGTGAGCACGCAGAATACATAAGCTGAGCCACCAGGTGGCAGGCTAACACCATGAAACTATTAACCAGATTCCTCAGTGTACTGCAGAAAATACACAGTTCCTGGGAGCTGAAATGACTGAGTCAGTTTCTGGTAGGTCTCCAGCTGTAAACGGTGAAGTAGAGCCCATGGCTCTCTGTGAAGAAACGGAAGAAGCTAAACTCACTACTAGGTCAGATGCTAGAGTCAAACCCATGGCACCCCACACACTACCATGGGATTTACCCCAAAAGAGGATGTCAGATTTACTGCATCTTAAGGTGTTTATATCTAATTTCCTCTTTCCTTCTTGGAAATTCGTGGACATCCCGCAGCACTGTCGCAATCTTCTCCAGATCCTCTGCCCACCGAAGTCTGGCCCGCACCTTCCTCCACTGGAGCTACTCAGAAGCCCCCGAATTGTCGGAACATGACTCTCGGCAATAAAGGCAGGACATAAGGAGGAGGGAAAAAGATTCCAGAATTCAAATGAAAGCAGAAAAGGTGAGCTCACCCTCCACTCCCAAAAAAGGAACAAATTTGGAGAAGTCAGATAATAGGCAATTCACAAATATAAACTTTTTGTTCCTCTACTAGGAAATAAAAGCCCAAGAGAGGAAGTTACATTGTATTTTGAGAGAGAAGTAAAAAAAAATATTACAAATAGAGGAGACTACAGCAAGATATGTTGATCTAGGTGACTGAATTTGCTGGCCAATTTTAGTCTGCCTTCCCTGGAAGAATTGAAATGTCATGAAAGAAAGGGCCTTATTAGTCTTGTCATTTCTGATTCCAGCACTTAGAACATGGAAATGCATAATAAACATTTGCAAAATTAATAAAAGTACAGAGGACACTCACTGAAAGTCAGACTATACAGGATAATGTTTGGTTCATGGGGCAAGGAAACTTGAGTTGAAGGGCAAGCAGGGTTGGGTAAGCAGAGAGGAAGGACCAGGCACTGCGGTGGGACAACTGGATACAAACTGCAGGTGCAAGTGGGGCCCACCAGGACACAGCAGGAAAGCAGGTTGTGTCCTGGGACACCAAGAAACAGCAGAAAGGCTGCTTGGAGGATAAACGGTTCAAGAATCGGGGAGCAGCAAGAAAAGCCCTATGACCCGTCTCAGCTCCCCCCACAGGAGTATTGTGACATCCAATAATTTGCCTAAATAACCCATGGCTCAGTTTCCTCATCTGTAAATTAAAAAAAAAAAAAAAAAAAAAAAAGCCTCACAGGCTGATTCTGAGTGTTAAATATTTGGGGGAAGTATCTGACTTGTGTGTAGTAAGCACTCCAAACTTTGCCCTGTTCTTTTTGTGTCATCTATTGCTATGTGCCTAGTTCCTAACACAGTATCTGGCACAGTAGACATGTGAAACATACGGTTGAATTAATGGATAACTGAGATGGGAAGAAATGGCACACAGCATAGAAAATAGGGTGAGTTTGGGCCTGTTGGGGCTCAGAGCGTGAAACCCCAAAACAAAGGTCTCTGTAAAGGTTTCCCTCTGACTCTCCTACCTCCCTGTCCCGTTGTTTACTTTCCCTCACCCCAAAGCAGCCTCAGGAACAAGGATTCCTTTTCCCGAATGTGTGTCACATTAGCTGGAATCTATTTTTCCCAAAACAAGCCATAAAGTCTAAAAATATCCCTGTAATCCCCCACCTTTCTGTCTCAGAGCTAGCCATAAGGAAACACTCTGACCTACTTTGTTTGGTAGCAGATCACCAGACCCTCGTTTCTAAGAGTCCTCCCCCACAGCTATGAGGAAGGAATGCTGCTCCGAGAGGCCCAGAAGAATCCGAGCAGACAGCCTTGCCCAGATTCCCACTGGCACGGGTACCCTCAGGCCGTATTCTCCTCCACAAGGCTGTCCAGGCTTCTTCCAACCCAAACATAGAAACAGATGACACCCCCACTTCTTTGGGTCTTCCTCCTGAAGGCTCCATGTCAGATAAAACCATATTACCATAAATTTGTTATACTTTCCTCTGGTTAACCTGTCTTTTGTTACAGGAATGTCAGCAGTGGGGCCTGGCATTGTGGTGCAGCTGATCAAGCTGCTGCCCGTGACACCAGCATCCCACATGAGAGCTGGTTAGGGTCCTGGACTCCCCACTTCTGATCCAGCTGCCTGCTGATGCATGTGGGGAAGCATCAGATGATGGCCCAAGTCCTTGGGCCCCTGACACCCATATGGGAGACCCAGATAGAGTCCCAGGCTCCTGACTTCAGCCTGGCCCAGCCCTAGCTGTTGCAGGCATTTGGAGTGTGAACCAACGGATGGAAGCTGTCTCTCTCTCCCCCCCTCTAACCCTGTCTTTCAAATGATGATTTTTAAACAAGGAAATGTCGGCAGTGCCCCTTTAACATGGGCAGGAGAGGCACGGTGCCTTTCTTCCCCCACAGGCATGAAACACGAGTCAGCTTCAAAGATAAGAAGCTTGCCTGCGCTGAAAACTCTTAGCAAGAGGATAAACCATCAGTAAATTAAGTAGCCATCACTACTTCTGGAGATGTGCTTTTCCCCACTTTAATTATTACATTGAACACTTGATGGGCGGTTTGAAAAAAATTAAAGGCTTATTATTACGCATCACTGTCATCTCCTGAGTAAACGGACACTTGACAGATTCTTGGACGATGCCTCCTGAGTTAACTGGCAAACAGCACAGCCGTCTGTGGTGGCTCAATCAACCGGCCCTGCCAAGCAGACCTCAGAAGACCATTCCCTCAAGATCAAAGTTGCGATTTCTGAGCAGAGTGTGCGCTGATGCTACCTGCCCAGGTGCACAGCGGGTAGAGGCACTGACAGCCAGGCCCTCTGCCTCCAGGCAACAGCACCTGAATCTCCTGACACTTGCTGTCCCCAGTGACGCAGTGGCATTTTGAAAATCGACCATGAAACACATACACACGCTTATTTCAGGCGTCAGGCATTGTGATCAGTATCTCCAGTGGCTCCAAGGTAAATAAGGCACGGCTCCATGTTTAAGGAGGATATAATTAAGAGAAGAGACGATGCACACTAATAATACCCGTAATTATTGCCATTACTTTAGCTGCTTCAACTTACTGATGGCCATTACGTGCCAAGCCCTCAAGTTATATTATTTTGCTTAATCCCCATCTGATCCTACGAGACAAGTATCCTTATTCCTTCTGACAAATGAGGAAAGCAAGCACTTGGAAAGATGAACCAACAGGGCAAGCACCCAGCCAAGAGACAGCAGTGCAAGGATTCGAACTTCCAGTTTGGCCTGACTCCAAACTCTGCCTCTCCCACACAGCAGGCATCTACCAGTGTAGGTCACTACACACTAAAAAGAAACTTGGAATACAGTAATAATAAAGGCATTGAGGAAAGGCTCAGTGAAAGCGATTCTGGAGGACTGAGTGCAGGAACGAGGCTGCTGAGCAGTGCAGGCGGCGGTCACTAAATGAGCATGCACAGAGCCCGTGTCCTCTAAAGAGAAACTGGAATTCAGCGTTAGCACACAAGCCAGTGTGGATCCCCAGGGGAAATGAAACAACGGGGACCTGCATCCGCCGGAGACCAGGGCCTTTTCAATGCAAGATTATAGAGTGCAAATCGAAAAGGACGAGTCTCCTTCAGCCACAGTGATGGTGGGCACAGAGCTGAAGACACCTCCTGTGGGGCTGGCAGATGAGTGTGTCCAAGGATCACATTCACAGTGCCCACCGTCTGCAAACAGCTCCACACCGTGCCATGCCAACACGAGCCAGGGGCCTGCTCCACTCAAACCAGGTGGCAGTGACAGACTCTTACAGCTGAGCCTCGGGAACTGTGCAGCAGGCTGACCGTGGCAGGGTTTTGTGGCTGTGTGGCATCACTTACCATGAAGCTGTGACAATGATAAACAGAGATTTTCTAGGTTGAAGGGGAGGAGTGGTCACCAAGGGGGAGATAAAATATCAGTAAAAATGGGAAGTTTTGGCCAGCGCCGTGGCTCACTAGGCTAATCCTCCACCTGCGGCGCCGGCACACCGGGTTCTAGTCCCAGTCGGGGCGCCGGTTTCTGTCCCGGTTGCCCCTCTTCCAGGCCAGCTCTCTGCTGTGGCCCGGGAGTGCAGTGGAGGATGGCCCAAGTGCTTGGGCCCTGCACCCCATGGGAGACCAGGAGAAGCACCTGGCTCCTGGCTTCAGATCGGCGCAGTGCACCGGCCGTAGTGACCATTTTGGGGGTGAACCAATGGAAGGAAGACCTTTCTCTATGTCTCTCTATCTCTCACTTTCTAACTCTGCCTGTCAAAAAAAATTAAAAAATGGAAAGTTTTGCTGGATGTGAGACACACACCTCCACAAGAATGCCCATGTACTGCAGGAGAGAGCCTACATTATTTACCGCAGTAATACATTCACTTACTGTCTGGGCTGTTGTCACCTGCACAACCTTGTCTACTGCCAATCCTGGACATGGGCAAGTCTCACGGTACCTTCACCATGGACCTTCAGGGACACAGGACGTGGGCCTGAGCAGATGGGCAGGTTCCCACTCACGAGCAGCTCCCCTCTGCAGGGCACAGCGTCCAGTGCTGCCAGTCACATCTGTGTCAGAGATGAGCACACTGGGGCTCAAAAGGCTTGAGCAGCTGATTCAAAGTCCTAGGAGTGGCCCTTCTGGGGTCTAAAGATGACATAAGACCGTGGTGGCCTTGCCTCTACTTGTGGTACCAGATATGTTAGTGGAAGCAGTTAAAAATTCCCTAATGAATAGCACAGAAAGAATCCACATTTGGTAAGCCGTAAGGACGGTTATGTTGGAATCCAGTCTGTTTTTGCTAGGGCTTTAACTGTTTCATCTGTGTGTCAAACAGATGTTGAGGGATGCTTGTAAATGATATAAACAGAACTATCTCATTCCTTATAGCAGATAGTTGAGCAGATTTATATAAACCAGAATGGAAAACAGCAAGATAAATGTAGTTTATGTGTGTGTGTGTGTGTGTATCCATGTACATATATACACAGATCCAATAGAGTATTTATATATTTCCAGTTTTTCCATTTGTGGGTGGCCTATCAGATTGAATACATTTCATTCCAAAGAATACGTAATTTTGAGAATATTGACTTCCCACTGGAAAAACAGGATTTATGGTGAAATTGCACCTTAGTTCTCTTCAATAGCATGAAGTTTTACAAAAGACAATGCTATTTTGAGAATCTCTTTTGCTGCCTATACATTATAAATTAAAAATACTCATTGTTATCTCAAGAGTCTTTAAATTTTCACCATCGCTACAGAAATAATGTAGCCTAGGGCTTTTAAATGTCCACTGTTCTGAGATTTCTTTTAAAAAGCATACTAAATATATTGAGAAAATTATATATGCCATAAGTTTTGATAAGCTTGTTTAACATGAATTATGACATATGTGCAAATCCAGACAGGAAGCAAAGGAAATGTTAAAGTTGAAGGCATTGATTCTTGTGGAGAATTTCATATTTGCACAGAACTGATCATGACTAGTCTCAGGCCAAACTTAACAAGCAAGTAAACTCTGTGCCAGAGCTCTCCCCACTCACAGAAGCTGACTTCCTTTGTGCTATCCCGTCTCTAAGAGGACTGGCAAATCAGACCTGAACCTTTTCCTTCTCCATTGGATTTATTTTTCTTATATTCTTTTTCCCTAATGTACAAAACCCACATAGGCTAATCTGTGCTTTCACAACTGATAATAATGTGTCATCCCAAGCCAATGATTCAAATTACACAACAGTGCTCCTAAATGGTGAATTAGAAACTAAGGAATTCTACACAGACACAGAACCTTAGTGGTAGATACACTACCATTAGGAGTGACTGATACTGAAGAGAATGACCCTTGCGCTACAGTTTCTAAAACAAAACTTCATGACTTCTCAAAGTGGCGGGGGGGGGGGGGGGGCGCTGTTGTACTTGGCAACATTCCCAAGACCCACAGAAATAAACATTTAAAAGCATGAAGGTATTTGTTAAAAGGCATATCATGGGGCTGGCGCCACAGCTCACTAGGCTAATCCTCAACTGCGGTGCCAGCACCCCAGGTTCTAGTCCCAGCTGGGGCATCGGATTCTGTCCCGGTTGCCTCTCTTCCAGTCCAGCTCTCTGCTGTGGCCCAGGAGTGCAGTGGAGGATGGCCCAGGTCCTTGGGCCCTGCACCCGCATGGGAGACCGGGAGGAGGCACCTGGCTCCTGGCTTCGGATCGGCGCAGTGCTCTGGCCACAACGTGCCGGCAGTAGCAGCCACTTAGGGGGTGAACCAACGGAAAAAGGAAGACCTTTCTCTCTCTGTCTCTGTCTCTCTCTCTCACTAACTCTGCCTGTCAAAGAATAAAAAAAAATTTTTTAAATTAAATTAAAAAAAAAACTCATGTCATGGTATCTGTGCAGATCAACTAACTTCTGGTTATCCTCACTTTGCTACTCATATGTTATTTTCCTTCTTCATAATGAATACATTAGATACTTGGGGAAAGAAACTATTAACCAATCATTCATCAAATAATGGTACAAAATGTGGACCCTGCCCACTAATGCCATTTGGAGGCACTAGTGCCCTTAATTATGAATTTTGTAAGGCTCTTCTGGGTATTAACAGAACAATTCACGAGAAGTGAATGGTGTACTTGGGATGTGGTTGCTCATACACCTTATTTTATTTGCATGGTCGTGTTTGTGGGGTGTGGGAGTCATCTGACATTGTCAGAGATCCCAGGGTCACAGGTCCCGGGAGACACTCACGTCTATGTTGTTCAGGGTGTTGAAGTACATCAGGTCATGCAGCCTTTTGAATGCTTGATTTGGATACTGGAAGTTGAAGGTTGAAAACGGCGATTCAGGGTCATCAAAAATGTCAAAGTCAGCTATTTCTTTCTCTTCCTTAGTTTCTCTTGGAACACCTAAATAATGAAAAGAGTCATAGATGCCATTATTTTGAAAACTAGAAAATATTTCTACAACCCGATGAATAAAACAACCAACTAGTCAGAAAGCACTAGGACTACTGTCCAGAGGCCAGTTCTGGGTGTTCTGTCTGGAAGGCTTCAGACTACCAGGGTCTGCATCTCTGTGCCTGGGGGTTTGGGATCTGTCCCTGCAGGGGTGGAGGCTGCTCTCTCATCTGCCTCTGGCTAGAAACTCTGGGAGATAAAACCGTGGCCCCAGGCAGCAGATAACCACTCTAGGGAGCTAGCCCTGTAAACACACAGCGCTCCTGGCTCCTGGTGTGTGGGTGGGAGGATGATTCTGGGACACAGGTCCTGTTCCATTTCCTAGACTTTCCCAGCAGGCTCTAGTTCCATTGTGGTAGTCAGTGTTTGTCCTCCTCCCTTCTGAGTAACAAGCCAGAGAGCTCTCTGGTTCACCTAAATAAACTATTTACACTTAAATCCTTTTCTAAGGACCTGCTCCTAGAAGAACACAAACTGAAACACTTATCTGATTTATGCCTCAGAAATCCCGGTGCAGGACAACTGCTCAGGGAGCCTCCCCTTGAGACTTAAGAGCAACAGAGCTCCTCACCCATCCGTTCTGTCTTCCCTGAATTCCCCTGGTGTTCCTCTCTGAATACTGGTGTGTGTCTGTGTCTTTCCATTCACCACATGGAAATCTACATTTCTAGCCCTACGATGTTACGGATCTTAGAATCTTCAGCATCCTGCCTGCTGGTCTCTAGATCGCCTTTCCTTAACTGGCATTTTCTAGAATAAAGCAGAATCTACAGGATGTGATAAAACAGACTGACTATTCTTCGAACTTGATCCTCATTTTCTATGAAATACAACATGGCAACCTGTAATGGCTAGCCAAGTTGTGCATCCAGATCACATGAATCCTGTGGCCAGTTAAAATTCCCAGAATATCTGCATGGTTTGTTCTGGAACAAGAGGTCTCTTACGAGGGTGGTTTTCAAAATACTTAATGTAACCTAGGACGAGGGCACCCATCAATCAGAACAAACACATTCCAAGTTCTTGTTATAAAGCCCCAAAGATCTTTGCTAAACCAGTTATTAACACTTCAGTTTCTGGGCTGTGAGAAATGCTAGGAACCTTATGGTAAGAAAGGTCTTAAATGGTAGCCATTTATCAAGGTAAGGGATGCATTCAAAATTATTAATAGCTGGAACAGCCATGTCAGTGTGAAACAGTTTAATATCGGCCTTGCTCTTCTAGAAGATTTCTATTTTATGGAATAGAACTTATTCTCAACCTACCTGGAGACTTGTACTTTCTGAAGTTGATATTGGCCAGAACAAAGTGGATGATAATTGGGCAATCTTTCTCCACATCAGGATTCTTGGGTTTAAAGACGTAGCACTCCTTCAGTCCCTCTCGATCAAACACGTAAGGATCTATCTTCGGAAAGGGGAGCTTGTTCATTTTAGCCCACTTTTCTGCCAGTAGAAGCTCCTATGGGGGAAAATGGAAGATGTATTCAGGGATTTTTAGTCTTCCTTTGTTCAGCTGGTCTAACCATTACCCAGTAGCCATTGGGTGTCTACTACTTGCAAGCAATAGGCTTCTTACTAGAATGAACAACAGCCTGATTTCAAGAAAGCCATCCATGGCTGGCATTGGGGCACAGCAGGTTAAGCCACTGTTGCAACACAAGCGTCCCATTTAAGGGCAGGATCAAGCCTCTGCTTCTCCACTTCCAATCAAGCTCTCTGCTAATGCACCTGGGAAAGCAGCGGATGATGGCACCCAAGTGCTTGGGTCCCTGCACTCATGTGGGAGACCCAGATGGAGTTCCAGGCTCCTGGCTTCAGCCTGGCCCAGTCATACTCATTGTGGCCATTTGAGGAGTGAACCAGAAGATGAAAGACCTCTCTCTCTCGCTCCTTCTCTGTAATCCTGCTTTTCAAATAGATAAATAAATCTTCAAAAATTTCTAATCAATCTCAAAACTTATCTAAGTACTCTTATAAACAAGCTCACTATCATTATTATGCCAATTCTTAGCACAGGGATGAAAAATCACTGAACTAAAATTAATGAAATTATAATGAAAAAAAAAATTGTTAGAGAAAAAATATTCTGGGTTCAAAGTATTTACAACTGTTTGACTGCTTTTCAACCCTTAGTAATGGAGTCTGATGTCACAGCAAGAAGAACCCTCTGGAACTGGGGCTGGGGAGGAGGGTTCACTTCCTTTGTCTATGCTAAAGTGTTAAAAAAAAGTTAAGATTAATTAATTAAAAATTTATTCATTATATGTATGTATTCAGTTACTCTGAGTCAGATTTTGTAGCTTCCATTTATGCAAAGAAGTAAAGTTTCTGGTCTTGGCCTGTTTATTTAAATTTTATTTATGTGAAAGGCAGGGGTGGTAGGGGATAGAAAGAAACAAAGGAGTCTTCCATCTGCTGGTTGATTGACCAAATGCTCACAACCGCTGGGCTGGACCAAGTAGAAGCCAGGAGCTAGAAACTCAATCCAGGTTTCCTGTATGGTGCAGGGACCCAACCACTCAAGCCATTGCCTGCTGCCTCCCAGGACCTTGATAGAAAATAAGAATGGGAAAGTCTCAGAGGGGGAGGCAGAAAAAGGTGGGAGTATGGGTGGGACAGAGGTAGAGGGAGAAGAATCACCATGTGCCCAAATTTGTATATATTTAATGCATGAAGTTTATATTTCTTAAATAAAATTAGAAAATAAAAAAATTTTAAATTTAAAAAAATATATGCATTCGTAGGAAGATGGAATTGGAAACTGGGAGTAGAATCCAAGCATTTCAGTATGGGATGCAGGCTCCGCACATGGGATCGTAACCACTGCTCCAAATGCCTACCCCAGCACGGCTCTATTTTGTGCCCAGCAGCCAAAAGTAGACCGCGTGGTGGGACCAAGAGCTAAGCAGAAGGGCGGAAACAGGTTGTGTGACGGCTCCACTCTTGGCTCCCTTCCTGGTAAGAGGGCTGTGCATCCCAACAGAAAGAGAGGCATAGGAGGCTGGGGCCACAGCAGCTGATTCGCAGTGACTGGCAGGTAGCATGACCAAGAAATACATGCTGTTGTCAACCAACGTGAGGTCTGTCTGTCACTGCATCAAAGCTGACTGATTTATTGTGTAAGCACAAAAATAATTAATTTTGGAAAACATAAATCAATATGGAGAGGTTTAGTGAGGACAGCTCTGGAGCCTTGGTCACATTTCCAACTCAGTGCTCCTGACTCCATACCCTGAAAGATAAAGCATAGGTGATCCTAACAATACATGTGTTATAGAATTGCACTCAGATGAGATGAATTAGTATCTGGCAGTATTCAGAACAGGGCTTATCACATGTCAAGTGCTACACAATGCGGGATAAAGGAATAGCAGTAAAGAGAGGAAAAGAGACAGAAGAGGAAAAGTGAGGAGAAAAAAAGGAAAATTAGAGAGGAGGAGAAACGGAATAGATTTAGGGACATTCCCAGAGAGAATCTGAAGGGCTCTACACTTGTCCTCACTCGGATCCACTGGCCACACTCACCAGAGGCTGATGTTGGCTCACACCAGGTGTGGGGGACCCTGACTAAGTCACTGATGCCTCTCGTTATGGGACTTACAGTGCCCGAGAGTGAGCTCTCAAACAGCCTCCGTGTTTAAAGCTGTGATAAATGCCATGAACAAGTTGCAGACTCTCCTGAGCCTGTGTAGTACCCCTGCACTATTTCCTCTGTGTATTTACTAGTTCATTCAGCAGTGATGATGAGACCTGCTATATTCCAGGCACGGCAGAGGGGCTGTGGCTGAAGTGCTCCAGGTAACGCAGCAATGGGAGAGAGACGTGACTGTCACAGCACAGGGTGACAGAGGCCAAGCTAAGCAGTTGGAAACGCCCAGCTCAAACACGGATGCCTTCACGTGCTGGCTGGGCGACCTGACGCAACTCCCTGGGTCATCTCAGATGAGCAGGAGACAAACTACTTGGAGAGAGGGCTGCAGTGAGCAGTGACCTTCCTGTGACGGCACCACAGGGACCACGTGTGACAACACACAGAGACTGGTTGTTCGGCCCCCTGAAGCAGCAGTCCCCAGGCACTGGTTTCCTGCCTCTGCAAAGTTAAGCTAATAACCTTTGTCTCTTCATACGACTGTCGTGTGGACTAAACAAGATACCGTCCAGAAACCTCAGTAATTTAGGTCCAGAAAAAACAGGTGCTTTAACATGGCACCTTATATTCAGAGGAGAATACACTTTTCACTAAACTTTCACTGCTCTCGATGCTTCTGAAATGATGCATTTTAAGTTGATCAACTCTCTCTCAATACCACTTACCAAGAAATAAAAATCCAGGGGGACGAAGGGTAAGTGAAAGCAGGTGCATCCTGACCTGCTATGCTAGAAAGAGTGCTGTCTCACTTCCAGAAAATCCCAAATATGTACGAACAATTTCACATTTGAAACGGAATAAAGCTTTTATCATTAACCGCCCCCCTCGCTCTCCCCCTCTGTCGGGCTGAATTAACCAGCTGGTCGTTGCCTGTCTAGCACTGTTCACAGTTACTCATTGATGAGTATTCAGCACCAAAATAGAACCAAGAGTTCACACTGTGGAGAGCCACGTGAGGCAGGAGAAGCGCCAGCCTCCCAGTGTTTGCAAACGTGACTCAGGGGTGGCCTGTGACGTGCACGTCTGTGGAGCACAGGGCAGGGGAAACACGGGAAGTGATGGCCGGCTGCCGTGAGACGCTGCAATCAGGAAGAGCCCGGCACTTTCCCTTTCCTATGAGAGCCCGCTGTGGAAAAGATGAACACCCGGTGACGACAGACACAGTGATTACAGGACGGAAAACCCTGTCTCCTTTCTGATGTCTCGCTGCTGCAAGTCTGAGAAGCGATGACATAGACCGTGAGTAAAGCCACAGTCTGAGAAAAGTATTTAAAAAAAAAATGCAGTGAACAAAATACTGCACTCCACAAACAGTGTTCTGTCCCAAGTGCCCATTTTGGTTGTTGTCTGACACCTCAGAAACTTCCGACTTCCACAGATTAATTTGCAGTTAAATTTACACAGCACTAACAAAAGCTATTTTCCGTGGAAATAAAAATTTGACAACACCTCCAAAGCTGATTTTCTGTGAAATGTTCGTGCTCAATTTTGAGTACTAAAAAATGACTAAAAACCTTAAATAGCATAGAAATATATTCAAATCATACTGTGAATGGAATATATATATATATATGATAAATGCTATTGGTATTATCCTTGAATAGACACTAAATGGGGGTTCAAATTTGCAAGGTAAATATCTAATTTACTTACACAGCTAAATTGGTGCTGCTTTTCTAGAAAGCAGTCCAGAATTTTTTTTAAATAAAAGTCATATTGGATGCGTATCTAGGAGCCATTCTAAGGAAATCATAAAATGTGATTAAGAATCCATGTGTAGGGTCCAGCACTGTGGTGCAGTGGGTTAAGTCACTGCCTGTGCAGCATCCCGTATCAGAGCACTGGTTAGAGTCCTGGCTGCTCTGCTTCTGATCCAGCTCCCTGCTAATGAACCTGGAAAAGCAACAGGAAGGTAGCCCAAGTGCCTGGGGCTCTGCCACTCATGTGGGAGATGCAGACGGAGTTCTAGGCTCCTGTATCCTGCTTGACCCAGCCCTGGCTGTTGTGGCCATCTTCAGAGTGAGCCAGTGGATGGAAGATCTCTTTCTCTCTCTGTTTTACCCTCTCCCTGTCACTCATCCTTTCAAATAAATAAGTCTTAAAAAGGAAAAAGGAAAAAAAAAGGCAGTAATGTGCCAGGATGATAATTACAGAAAAAAGTAACAAGATAGCAATAATCTAGGAGTTGAAAATAAAGTGTCAAATAAATTATTTCACATCCATATATAGAAATGCTATATGTTTTTATTTTATGCTATTACATGTCTATAATCATGTTTTACAAACATTTAATATCACAGGAAAATACTCACAAGCAGAAAGCAAAATGATTTTATGACCCTGGTGGTCTTTTCTCTCTCTCTTACACACACACACACACACACACACACGAAAGACTGGATGGAAAAAAAACGCCAAAATATCAGCAGCTGTTGACTAGAAGCATTTGATATATATCCTAAATTTTCATATACTTTATATATTCTTAATCACAAATATGAATCAACATTGTGAAATTACTGCAAAGCATAACGCATCTTTTCAGAGGTGTCAGTGACAATACCAAGCCCTCCTCCCATGTGAGCTCACAGAGACAGCAGAGCCCTGATTCACATGTAGAGTGACAGCTGTGCCACTCTGCGCAGCCCTACTGGCATCCTGCAGCTCCACAGCCAGCTTCTAAACCGGCGTCTCACATTCCCCCAGCGTCTCATCCCCCCATCAAACCCTGCTTGGCTTTCACAGCCACCCACCTGGGCCAGGACTTCACGACCTTATGCTTGGGTTACAGTAAGTCATTCCTCATTCTAATCCTCTGCCTTCCATCCTCCAGCTCGCCCTACGCTCCACAGTCAGATTAATCATCCAGAAATTCCGATTCCATAAAGTCATTTGTCTGCTGGAAATCCTCCACTGATTCTCAGCTTCCTACCCCCAACCTTCCACTCTCCCCTGAAGCTCTCCTGATGGGAGCTTAGTACCTGTCACTTCTAATCAGATCACTCCAAACTTTCAGATGTGCTCTGTTCATCTATGGTCCAATTCACTGTCTCCAGGGTGCACCAATTGACTCTTTTTTTTTTTTTTTTTTTGACAGACAGAGTGGACAGTGAGAGAGAGAAACAGAGAGAAAGGTCTTCCTTTTGCCGTTGGTTCACCCTCCAATGGCCACCGCGGCCGGCGTGCTGCGGCCGGCGCACCGCGCTGATCCGATGGCAGGAGCCAGGTACTTATCCTGGTCTCCCATGGGGTGCAGGGCCCAAGCACTTGGGCCATCCTCCACTGCACTCCCGGGCCACAGCAGAGAGCTGGCCTGGAAGAGGGGCAACCGGGACAGAATCCGGCACCCCGACCAGGACTAGAACCCGGTGTGCCGGTGCCGCAAGGTGGAGGATTAGCCTGTGAACCACGGCGCCGGCCCAGAAACCACATTTTAATATCAACTGCTGCAGCCAGTGACCAACACAGGAGAGAGCCTACCCAACTGTGCACCAGAGGGGCAGCTAGGAAGGGCACCAGTGCTCATTCTGAAGCCGTGGGATTGGGTCCAGGCTGGATCACTTTACAAGCACCTCCCCAACCGGACCCCGCACTCTGCTCATTTTATTCACTCTCTTATTTCAGTTGTTAATGAAACCTGATCTCACCAACGCTTGTCTGAATATGGTTCACAACCTCAAAAAACATCAAATATGAGCACACTCTGAAAATGCGGGGTCTTACATATATTTAAGAATTATCACTATAATCATTATCAGTCTCGAGTGCAGTTTATTCTTGTCCTGAGAGTAAGGAAGCCAGATGTGCTGTCTGAGAACCTCGGGTCATCACTGACTTCCTGGGTGGAAGAGGCTCAACAGTCTCCCCTTGCCTCTGCGTTTCTGTCTCTCAGCCTGTGACATGTGCCTGATAACACCACCCCTCCTGCAGCATTTCATCCACTCAGCTGCCAAAGATGTCCTCCATACTCATGTCTTGGCCAGCACTTACCTCTCTCTCTCTCTCACACTCACACACACACACACCCATAAAATACCGCACGACAGATTCACTGTCCTGTGTGCTGCTACTGTGCATTGGGAAGTCAACAGAGAGACTCTGAGAAGCATCTTCAGGAAGTGTGGCATGTCCCAGGCTGAGGGAACAAGACCACGCGAGGCCCCACGCAGGTGAGACCTCGGAGACGCCCCGTCTCCCTGCACTGCCCCATCCAGAGCGTCACCTCGTTTCCTCACAGAAGCAGATTATTCTCTCCACACGCCTGCCTTCCTCATCCTCAGAAAGATGAGCAGGACACTGAGTGAGTGCTTCGTTAACTTCACCTCCCCACGTCTGACAATGCCTCTCCACACCCAGCCGTACGCCCCTTTCTGACACAGACATTCATTTAAAATTATGGACCACTTTCCACCTGCATCGTCATATCCCTGCCCTCCACCCAGAGCCTTCCCAGAGGTGCGACTCTGCCCCACACGTCAACTCTACTTTCCAGTAACATTCTCCTCGTCCCTGCCCCCCAGCCACCAAGACTGACACCACGCCAGGACCTTCTGTAGACAGCCCACCACCCCCCCAGCCACCAAGACTGACACCACACCAGGACCTTCTGTAGACAGCCCACCACACACACACACACACACACTCACACACATGCACTCAGATACACACACACACACACTCACACTCACACACACACACTCACGCACATGCACTCGGACACACACACTCACACACACACTCTCACAGTCACACACATGCACTCAGACACACACACACACTCAGACACACACACACGCACGCACTCAGACACACACACTCTCACACTCACGCACATGCACTCAGACACACACACTCACACAGACACACACTCACAGCTTTCTGCTTCCCCATCTCCTCACCGACAGGTGCAAACCGCTTTTCCCCTGAGCAGTCCGTGAACGTGCCTCCCTTTGTTTGAGCCCCGCTCATCCCTCAAGCCCCTCCAGGCTCACTCCTGCCCCCGTGACTCACTGGAATGGCTCACATTCAGGCCCCTCCACTGTGTAGCCTTCCACCGCCCACTCCCTGTGTGTTCTTCCTTTTTCCCTCGACATGGTTGTTCTGCAAGGGCCTGTTCGTCTGCTTACCTTCTCAGAGAACACCCCCCCCGCCGGCATGGTTTCCACTTCTCGGCTGACTCCCAAATCTCAACCTAACAACCTTCTCCCTAAATCGCAGAGCCAGCATCTTGCTCTTGTCCTGAACTTCACTTGAAGAACCTTAAAAATCAAACCAAGATGGAGTGACCTAAGCCAATACCACTAAAAACAAGAAGTCACCTTTGCCCCAAATAAAATTAAAGTTTAAAAATTATAGCCCTAAACTTTTTCCCCCAAAGCTAAAATTAGGTGCAGCTATAAAAATAAGGGACCCTATGCTTAGCTAGCTGCGACACTTGTGCCTGGCTGTGCTAAGACCTAACCCAGTTTGTATGCCTCCTAATACTCAAATAACGGTGTGGGAAGCAGGACGCCGCTCTCCCACCAGGGGAACAAAGGGAGCGAGACGTCGTCCCCCTCAGGGTGAACAAGATGACGCTGGCAGGGAAAGGAACTGCTGAAGAAGTAAACAACAAAATGGCGACGAGGTGCATGCCTCCCATGTGATCCGGTAGCTGATTGGATAGAAGACGCGTGCCTTTCACACGATCAGCTCACGGATTGGACTGCTGTGTGCATGGCCTCCCATGTGATCCCGTAGCTGATACGCATGCCCTTCACATGATCAGCTCGCGGATTGGACTGCTGTGTGCATGGACACTATAGTGCTTTTGATTGGTCGCTGTGGGTATATAAACCGTGTGGCTTTGTGCTGGGGGCGCTCTCCGGACTCCCGAGTTCAGGAGGCCCGTCTGCGCAGACGCCGAATAAATCCTCTTGCTTTTGCATCAGCTGGTCTGGACTCTGAGTCTTTGGGGTGTGCCTCTCGACGTGTTAGCATCCTCGCTCAGAGGGTCTAACACAGTGAGTTCACTGGAATCAGGTAACCATGTCTTTGTTCAGGGGAATGACTCAATCACATCAGAATACGCCAAATGGATAAAAAAGCTGGGCCAGAAGGCCCAAGAGAGCCATAAGGTATCGCAAGAGGATGTGGCAGAAAGCGGAACAGCACGTGAAGTCTCCCTACCTTGAAGGGTGGGCTAGTGTCACTCGGCCTTGCAGAAAAGTCAAAGGAAATGATGAGATCGACCCCTCTCTGAGGTCTCAGGATCAAAGGGTAGGGCAGGTTGAACGTCAGCCCGCTGTCCACGACGTGAATCTTTTTACTTTTCACATCCAAGGGCTCATATATCCGCTCGAATTCGTCAGGATCTAAACAGAAAGACAAGAATGAATTAGATGATCGCGTGGCCTTATTTAAGACAGAATAATGTCTGCTGCAACTTGAGAATCCCCACGGGGTTAGGCCCTCAGGCTCCAGAGGCAGGAAGCTGGGCCCGAGTCCAACTTTGGCAAGTGTCGGTCAAGTACCGTCTTTAAGCTTTGGTTTCTTCATCTGTGACATCGGGATAAAAGTAATCATCAAGTGAGGATTAGGGGGACAATACATGGAAAGCACTTAGCTCTGGCCCCGGTTTTAAGGCTAAGCTATGATCCCTTTAATAGTATTTCTCATTTTACATAGGTCTCTGCTGACTTAAAAGCACTTCCTCATATGCTACTTTGTAAGTGCTTCTTGTAGCAGACAGGCGAGGTAGAGGACGGTTCTGAATGGGCTGTGAAACAAGTCAGAAGTCACCCCTGAAGTGGCGTGACGGGGGAGTGGCAGAGGGTGAACACAGCCACATCACCTCTCTTGCTGGAGGCAGCTTTCCCCTCCAGAGGGGAGCCCAAGAACCTATAACCCAGCCAACACTCCGAGCACGTGGCCGGTGTTGTCTCCCACTCTCCAGGTACAGCAGCTGCGCACTGAAGAAGTCAGGGAGCAGCGCTGCTCTCTGAGGCTTCCGTCTGGGAATGCTGCCCGTAAGGCAATGAACAGACGCAGTCAGGAGACAGGCAGTGACAGAGCGATGAGGAGAACAACACGGGCAAGTGTGATGAGGAATGACTCCAGCGGGATGGTTGGAGGTTGGGGGAAGCTTCTCTGAGTAGAAAGCCTTGAGCTTCTATAATGAGCTGAAGCATAGCTGTACAGGACTGGAGGCCTAGGATGTGGGGAGCCAGGGATGTTTGCAGGCAGAGGAAGGAGGCAGGACAAGGGCCTACAGACAGCAAGATTCCATGTTTAAGAAACCCAAGGAGGCGACATATAGGAGGAAGACGAAATGAGATGACTGGGGTCTGATCTAACACAGGATGTGGAGATCATCAATTTGATGAAAAAATAACACTAACGATGCACCAGTCATCACATTTGGGTGCAGTGCTTCTAATTCACTTTGCAGGGGAAGAAGTATGACCAGAGTTGAGCCAAAGGAAGTGCCGTGTGCACCTGCTTTGCTGTCTCCTGCTCCACAAACTTGCTCCCCACCCCCCATCAGAGAGAAGGCTGGCAAAGCTCATGAGTACCCCTACTGTGGTATTAAAGCAATATATGACTGTGGTGTATGACCTCTGAGTATTTATTTACTTGTTCATAGGAAAGGCAAAGTGACAGAGAGAGAGGGAGAGAGAGATATTCCAACTACCGGTTCACTCTCCAATGACCAGGGCTGGGCTGAGCCGAAGCTAAGAGCCAGGAGCTTCATCCAGGTCTCCTAGGTGGGTGCAGGGGCCCAAGGACTGGTCATAATCTGCTGCTTCTCAGGTGCACTAGCAAGGAGCTAGATAGGAAGTGGAGCAGCCTGGAGAGGACACAGCATCCACACTGGATGCTGGCATAGCAGGCGGCGGCTTTACAGCCATGCCACAATACTGGCCCCTCTGAGAGAACTTTTAAATCCCATTTGGTAAGCATTGAAAAAACTAGAGGGTTGAGCAACCTGTGTTTATCATATGGATCAATCCCTTCTGGCCAGCAGCTCAACATCACTGCTGTAACCTTCAGGATAAATGGACAGTAAGTACAGTTTCTTCAATGTGTTGCAAAGGACATAGTTTTCTCAGATGTAAATACATGTTTGATATACAAATAAGAGTTCCATAATCAAACAGATTTGAGAAAGGCAAGATTCAACAGCATAAAAGCACTAGCCAGTTATGCTATATCATGTTCTTATCTGGCCACTATCCTCTGTACTATGCCTGGGACAGCACGTGGTCTGAAATCACTACTGATCTTCACAATAACTCTGAAGGAGAGGGATCACCGCTATCGCTACTTCATGAGTAAATTAAGGCTTCTGCTAAGTAACTTCTCAGGATTGTTCACCTAATAACTGGCCCCAAAGATTCAAAGCCAGTCTGCTTGCAAAGTGCCATACTCAAGGCACCTTCAAGTAGGATTAAACTCAAGAAGGCAGCCCCAGTGCTTTGTAAAGAAGGAGGCAAATTTGGCAGTTTTTCCAAATTTACTTGAACTTGAACCCAATTTACTGTATAACAACTTCTACTGAAATGCTATAGGAAGCTGGATGAGCACCAGGGCAGAAGGTAGTTGAAAGCATACGAGGTTTCCATCGGGTTCTCTGAGAGGCACAGAAACATTACTGTTTTATGTAGCATTTCCTTAGAGCTGGTCAGCTGTGATGGTCATTTTATAAACACATCACACAGATTCAGTTTATAATGGACAAATATTTTGATGTCTGTGTTTTGAGTCTTGATTTCTTATCCCAGCTGGTGTGTGTCACAGTAAATAACATAAACACAAAAGTAAACAGGAAAGAAGTTATGTAACTAATGAAGAGCTTTTCCAAAATTAGTTCCTATAGGTATAAAACTATTTGGCAGTAAGCTAATGAGGGGGTTTTATCTCATTTCTCTTTGTTTCCTTTTCTTTTCTTTTTTATTTATGTATTTGAAAGGCACAAGAAGAGAGAGAGAGAGGTCTTCCATTCACTGGTTCACTCCCCCAGACGGCTGCAACAGCTGAAGCTGAGGCAATCCGAAGCCAGGAGCCAGAAGAGCCAGGAGCTTCTTCTGGGTCTCCCACACGGTGCAGGGGCCCAAGGACTCTGGTCATCTTCCACTACTCTCCGAGGCCATAGCAGAAAGCAGAGACCGGTACTGGAATCAGAGCCCATATGGGATGCGGGCAATGCAGGCAGCAGCTTTACCTGCTATGCGATGGCGCCAGCCCTTTTTGTTTTCGAAAGATAGTCTCGCAAGGTGAAATAATAGGCACAAAAACAGTGTGGTTTTTTCTCATTTTAGATTGAGAATTTGTTTTGATTCAAAGATACTCAAATTTTAATTTGTATAAACAAAGTCACCACAAAACTAGAAAGTAAAATTTTTTAACATTATATCTAAATTAACATCTACCTATGTTTTTACATGAAAGGATGCACAAAATTAAGAGAGGAATTGTCTTAATGATTGATAAATTGTGGCATTTTATCTGTATAATAGAAACTTTAGTAAAGACTTATGAACCAAAATGATTCCAGATGTGATCAATCTTTCATTCCAGACATATGAATATTCTAAAACTTGGAAACAACCAGGGAGAAATAAACATGATCTATCCTGCTGGGGTCTTGTGTCTGAGAAAGCACTAACTCCTTCCAAAAACTCAGTCTAGAATTCACTCAGGGCATTGTTGGCCACATGGAAGTTATTACTGAAATCAGTACTCCACAGTTTCTTAACTGAATGAATATAAAGTATGCAAAATATAATTTTAATGAGATATGCAGAAAACTAAAGTTAATTTCTTTACAAAGATCATTCATTTTACTGAAACAGTATTTTACACTTTGTGTTTCTGTGTGGGTGCAAACTGATGAAATCTTTACTTAATATATACTAAATCGATCTTCTGTATATAAAGATAATTTAAAATGAATCTTGATGTGAATGGAATGGGAGAGGGAGTGGGAGATGGGAGGGGTACGAGTGGGAGGAAGTTATGGGGGGGGGGGAAGCCACTGTAATCCATAAACTGTACTTTGGAAATTTATATTTACTAAATAAAAGTTTAAAAAAAAGATCATTCATTTAAAACAATTTTAAGATAGGACATTTTAAAGTATCTCAACAAAAGAAGTATGTAGTCTATTTAACATCCCATTTGGGGGCAATTAATATTTTCTTTCTTTCTTCATGTGATTTTATAAACACCATCCATAAGTCTTCTTTCAAAAGGAACTTAATGAATAAAGGAGTCAGAGAATGCGCTGGACAAGTATTTGCTCCCCAAGCCCACCAGAGTGGGAGAGAACACCCATGTTCAACCCACGGTCCCCACCAGAGTGGGAGAGAACACCCACGTTCAACCCATGGTCCCCACCAGAATGAGAGAGAACACCCACGTTCAGCCCACGGTCCCCTCCAGAGTGGGAGAGAACACCCACTTCAACCCACGGTCCCCTCCAGAGTGGGAGAGAACACCCACGTTCAACCCATGGTCCCCCCCAGAGTGGGAGAGAACATCCACATTCAACCCATGGTCCCCTCCAGAGTGGGAGAAGAAAAAACCCACTCAACCATGGTCCCCTGCAGAGTGGAAGAAAACACCCACGTTTCAGACCACGGTCCCATCCAAAGAGGGAGAGAACATCCACTCAGCCCACAGTCCCCTCCAGAGTGGGAGAGAACACCCACGTTTAACCCATGGTTCCCTCCAGGGTGGGAGAGAACAACCACTCAGCCCACGGTCCCCTCCAGAGTGGGAGAGAACACCCACGTTTAAGACCACGGTCCCCTCCAGAGAGGGAGAGAACACCCACTCAGCCCCAGTCTCAGTCTGCAGCAGGGCCCCTGGTGAGCCTGCGTCTTTGCTGACTTGCAGATCCATCAGACCCAGGCCTGCTGGTCTCCGTTTCACCTGCTTTTCTGTCACGATTCACTGAAGCACCTGAAGCTTCCATCAACAAAAACTTAGAGTGAGAACTTTGAAATGATTCCAATCCTCATGAAGGCAGAGATTCTATCTGTCCTGTTGAACACTGGACCCCAAGAACCAGGTGCTCTATAAATACTACGTGAATGCAACAAGGAAAAGGCGGAAGATGAAAATGAGAACAATCTGAAGGAAACTAACAGAGGTGAACATTCCCCAAGGTTGCCACACACAGCCAACAAAATCACAGAAAGCTCCATTTGCGTTTCAGATCATCAACAAAGAACTGTTTAATGTAAGTGCATCTCAAATGTCGCGAGGACTATACATCTATATTGCATAGAGTACAGATGCTTAAAATTCAAATAGTACTGGGCATTCTGTATTTTATATGGCAATCCACATAACACCAAATCTACAGAAAACATTGCAAAACTACCAGGAAGTTGTTAAATGTGGAATGCAGAGCACGTGCTGTGCAAACCGCAGGAGGAGCAGCGCTGGCTGATGCAATCAAAACAATAGCGTGAAAGATATAATGGAGTGTACACAAAGAAACTTCCACTTTTGCATCATCACGACAGTGACTAAGAAAACCCGGGCAAAGGGAAAGCCGTAGGAGCAACATCAAGAGACTGTGTCCCAATCCCAAAGCCACGGAGCGATCTGGGGCAGATGACAGAATCACCTTCTCCGGCCTCTCTTTTCTACACAGTAAAATAACTGAAGATCCCTTCTGCTGTTCTGAGAGTACAAGGTGTTTCTTTAAGCCTTTCATCTTTCGTCTGGAAAGCTGACGTTTCTAGAGGTCACATTCAGTTGGTACTGCAATGGCAATAACAAGCATAACCACGTGCCACAAAACAAGAAAAATGAAGTCACTGGATGGCCAAATGTATTTCTTTTTGGGTGAATTTTTTTAAGTAGACGTTCACTTTATCACGAAGAGACCTTTGCTACAGTTCATGTCAATGGGCTTGTAGTGCAGGTACACCATAGGACATACGTCATCTCCTAGAGTTTGAAGCCACAACCATAATACCAAGTAGCCTGCATTTGTGCTCACCTTATTTAAACAACAGGCGTCACTTGTGCTTTTGCAATTTGCCTTCAGGCCAAGCAGCAAATAGAAACAACGCTATCAAAACGACCACACAGTCGAAAGCCATATCCTAACTCTCACAAGAGGTACTACCCTTAAACAAAGATCAGTAGGAAGCTTTTTGAGAAAGTATCTGATTTACGTTTTGATAGTGTCCTGTCAGTGTTCTCAGCCAGAACTGATGGACAGTAGAGGGAAGATGATGGTCTGATGAAAGACATAAATGCACTATGACAGGTCAGCCACCAAAGCAAGGAACTAAGTCATACGGGGAATTATTCTTGGAGGTTTGGCCGAGTGAGAAACCTGAACGTGGCGAGGTTCCTACAGGGTAAGACAGTCACTGAACCTTGCCAAGGACGGAAGGGGCCAAGGGGCAGGGCAGTGTGGGCTGGCTACCTCAGCTCCATTCCAGCCCTTCTGTTACACACGGGACTGCCCCGCCCCAGGGCGCCGGCCACCCTGAGCTCCGGTTCTGCCCCAGCCCAGCCTCTGCCAAGGGCAAACGCCCACATGAGGTGAGACCCAGGAGGACGTGAGACAGAGGCACGGCTTCTGCTCCTGCCGCTGCCGCTGCCAAGCTCAGATGTGGAGGCGTTGGTGGGGATAGTTCTGAAGTGTTTTTGGAGTCATTCCTGGAAGCTCAGCCTAGAGCTTTCTCCTCCTCGAAGCCTTGGAACAATTTTGTAAACACCCAATTCCCCTCTTTAAACCCTCTGCAGCTAAATGAGACAGCAGGTTTCCTATCTTGTGCAAGCGAGGCTGATCAAAACAGGGAATCTAAGGACTCTGCCAGTGTTTTGGTGGAAGTTTTCTACATCGGCATAACTAGGCTAGCTCCTGTTCACGGTAGCCTTTCTCTTCAAAACAAAAACCATAAAAGTAGTTATTTGAACCCACTCACACATTAAATGCATGTGGCTGTACCCTCAACATGTGGTAATGATAACTTAATGATAATTAAAATGCCTCATCCCCAGAGAAAGCTCTCCTGAACCGGCTTGCACTGATTCTATGTCGTGGACTTGCCTGCCACAGCCGCATCCAGTTCGTCATCATCAAAGGATTCCTGTGTGAAGTCCCGCAGGGGAGACAGTGGGTACGAGGTGTTGAGATTCAGGCCCAGCATGAAGTTGTGCACCTTGCCCGCGCGGCCTTCTCTGGTGTTGAATAGCGCCGAGTCACTCACTAAGGCCATGAGCATGCGATGGACCCAACTTGCCTGATGATCATTCTGATATTCTCTCTCTGCGTCTTCACTTTCCGTGCCTAAGGAGAAAGAAAAGATCATTGTGCAGGCATCATTTTCGGGTAGTTGAATTCTAAAGGTAACCATGAAGCTCTATGATTTCTGACTGGACATTCATTCACCTATACACAGGAACCTAATCAATATCTGCAATAATCATGTTTCTTCTTTTTCTAAGATTTATTTATCTATTCGAATGGCAGAGTTAGAGAGTTAGAGTTAGAGTTACAGTTAGAGTTAGAGTTAGAGTTAGAGTTAGAGTTAGAGTTAGAGTTAGAGTTAGAGTTAGAGTTAGAGTTACAGTTAGAGTTAGAGTTAGAGTTAGAGTTAGAGTTAGAGTTAGAGTTAGAGTTAGAGTTAGAGTTAGAGTTAGAGTTAGAGTTAGAGAGAGAGGAAGATCTGTTGATTCACTCCCCAAACAGCCACAATAGCTGGAGCTGGACCAGGATGGAGCCAGGAGCCAGGATCTACAACCAGGTCTCCCATGTGGGCCATCTTCTGCTGCTTCCCAGGTGCAGTAGCAGGGAGCTGGATAGGAAGTAGATCAGCTGGGACTCAAACCTATGCCCAGATGAGATGACGGCCCTGCAGGAGGCATTTAAAGCCACTGTGCCACAACACTGGCCTCAATAACTTTTCTTGTTAGTTTACCTTTTCCTATGGCCGGTGTGGAGGTTATGTTCTTCACATTACTATCTGGTCTGTTCTTAGGTTTCCAAGTAAACTTCTTCAATTTTCCCTTCCCGGGGGCTTTCCTTCCTTTTCCCTGACTTCACGCAGACACGCTCAGATGGAAAATCCCCAGCAGCCAATTGTATTCTCTACATCATCTATGTTTCTTTAAGAAATCTCATCCTGTTTAATAATCCAGGAATTACACAAACTGTGGACAGCTGAAGGATTCAACGTCCACTTGCTGCTCATAAACACCTGACCTGTCACTTCATCCTTACATATGAGGTGAGGGGATTTAAAACCCTGTCATTTAAACTACTGCCTGAAAATGCTGTAACATTCAGCAGTCATCCCAAAGAGGCAGTTTTAAATGGCCCTCACCTTAAAGCCTAGGTACATCACCACCACAGGGCGGCTGTCCAAGGCTGTCGAGAGCACCGGCTCCAGGAATCCCCTGTCCGCACTTAGCACCCACCCTCTTGCCCCATCTCTCCTTTCACTTTGCCATCAGTGCGTCTCATGGGGTTGCTGCGGGGATTAGTGGAGTTTGTGCAGGCATGTATTAGGAAGGTTCCCAGAAGGTGCGTGGACCACACTAAATTCTCCACATGTTATTCTTTCTTTCTTTTTTATTTATTTTTTTTATTTTTTGACAGGCAGAGTGGACAGTGAGAGAGAGAGAGACAGAGAGAAAGGTCTTCCTTTGCCGTTGGTTCACCCTCCAATGGCCGCCGCGGCCGGCGCACTGCGGCCGGCGCACCACACTTATCCGATGGCAGGAGCCAGGTACTTCTCCTGGTCTCCCATGGGATGCAGGGCCAAAGTACTTGGGCCATCCTCCAATGTACTCCCTGGCCACAGCAGAGAGCTGGCCTGGAAGAGGGGCAACCGGGATAGAATCCGGCACCCCAACCAGGACTAGAACCCGGTGTGCCGGCGCCGCAAGGCGGAGGATTAGCCTAGTGAGCCGCGGCACCGGCCCACATGTTATTCTAACAGGTGTAGCAGCAGCGCCAGTGTACTCAGCATTTTCAGTACTCCGTATTCATGATCCATGTCGAGGGATACTGAACTGGAGTCTACTGTCACCTGTCTACCCTATCATGTCCTGATTTCTGGGGACCCGGTATAGGCAAATACATGCATATAAGATGACTGTGCATGTGTGTGAGAAAAGAGAAACTACATTCAAACCTCACAATTTCCAATAAATGTAAGCTAAATATGCATAAAACCACAGTAAATACTGATTTTCATCTTCACAAAGGTTAGCTGGTCTGTACTGAGTAAAGGAGGGATCTTTCTTTTGGTTCAGTCCAGATGATTGCATATTCACTGGAATATTCTTACTTCCTTCTCCCACACTTTTCTAGTGCCAAACATGACAAATATCTTTCACTACAAGTCAGGCTTAAAATGAGTTACTTTGTTTCCCCAGCTACACAGGATATGAATAAGACACTCAATTATTTCCAGAGCTGGGGCTTCATGTCATCACTGTTATGCAACAAGCCCCACTCTGCACCAGCAGAGAACGCATCTTGATGATCACTTGAAAACGGCAAGACTTAGTAGGCAACAGATAAACTGTGCTGGTTGCTCATCAGATAAAATACTAAGAGAAAATTTCAATTCACATAGTTTGTTACAGCTTAATGCCTTTGCCATTTTGGTGACTACAACAACTCCCTGAGAGCAGGTAGAAGACTGTAGCACATATTTGAAGAAAGTAAACTTGAGAACATCCAAAGATCCTCCCGAAAACATGACAAAAACAAAGGAGCCTCAAGAGAATAAAAAGACAAGCCCCTTCCATGACAAATAACTTACAAAAATTTTTTTCCTGATGGACTATCATCCAAAATATACAAAGAACTCAAAAACTCAGGAATAACCAAGTTTAAAAATAGGTCAAAAATCCTCTCCAAAGAAGATGTACAGATGGCAAAGACTCATAGGGAGAGACGCTCCATAGCATATCTCATCAAGAAAATGAAACTAAAATGATGAGTTATCTCTACGCCCCTATTAGGATGGCCGAAATCTGAGGCCTATGCTGCAGCACGGCTGGCTAAGCCACCGTCTGCAGTGTCGGCATCCCATGCGGGTGCTGGTTAAAGTCCTGTCTGCTCCACTTCTGATCCAGCTCCCTGTTAATGCATCTGGGAAAGCAGTGGAAGATGTCCCAAGTACTTGGCCCCTTGTACCCACGTAGGAGACCTGGAAAAAGCTCCTGACTCTGGCTCCTGGCTCCAGCCTGGCCCAATCCCACCTGTTGTGGCCACCTGGGGAGTGAAATCAACAGATAAAGGATTTCTCTCTGTGTCTCTGTCTCTCCCTCTTTTTCTCTCTTTAACTCAGTTTTTCAAATAAATAAATAAATCTTAAAAAAAAAATACCAAAATCCACTTTGCTGGCAACACCAACAGGAAGCCTGATTCTTTGCTGGAGGTGGGTGTGGGGGAGGGATGCAAAAAGGTGCAGCCATGTTAGGAGACAGTTTAGAAGTTTCTTGCAAAACTAAATATACTATTAACATATGATATAGCAATTCTGCTCCTTGTTATATACCCACATTAACTGAAAAATTATGTCTACAAAAAAAAACCTGAACACAGATGGTTACTACAGTTTTGGTATCTGCCAAAACTTGACATCAAAATGTTCTCGGTTGACAAATGGATAAACAAACAAACTGTGGCACATCAGATAATACAATATCATTCCATGCTAAAAATAAATAAGCCATCTAGCTGTGAAACTACATAGAGAAAACTTAAATGCATATTACCAGATGAATCAAGCCAACTTGAAAAGGGTACATATTGTATGACTCCAACTCCAGGATACTATATTCTGGAAAATGCAAAACTACTGAGACAATAAAGATGCGTGCTTACCAGAGGGTGGGGAAGAGGGAGTGAGTGGGGGGCACAGAGGACTACAAGGTCAGGAAACTATTCTACTGAGTGTTGCAATGGTGGACACAAGTCATTATGCATTTTCCAAACTTCGGAATAGTCAACACAAAGAGGGAAGCTTCATGCCAACTATGGCAATGATGATGTATCAGTACAGGCTCACTGATGCCAACAAATGTGCCACACTGGATGGGGATATTTCTAGTATAGGAGACTGTGTGTTGGGAGAGAGCGAGCAGGGGACATAAGGAAACTCTGTATTTTCTGCTTAATTTTTCTTTGAACTTACAATTGGTCTTTAAAAAAAAACTCTACTAGCTATATTGAGATCTAGTAAGAAAACCTCCAAAATATTCTAAATATCAAACTCCAATCTAGCTGGTAATAAAAGAAAGACAACCACACTCAAGGGGTCCTTGAACATCTCAGCTTTAAGAATCAGCCAGTACTGCGGAGGCCACCAAATGTACTGACCATCTGTAGCAGTTTTCCTAATAACTGACAAACCATTACCCTACTTACGCACTAGATCTTATACCAACACAGAATCAGTAGAAGGGAGAAGCCCATGATATCTGTTCCCTTAGCACCAGCTAGCTTCCTTCATAAAAATTCAAAATAAAATGAACTTGAACAACTCAAAAAATGTTTAAAAAAATTTTTAAATGAAGGAGCCAGAACTAAGAATCAGCTTCCTCACAGCAGGGTCCCTGTGGGTTCCTGCCAAACTGCGGCTGCTGTATGTCATCAGGACAGGCCTTGGCCTTCATAAAGCTCACACAGAGCTGCACAGTGTGCACCAGCATTCCCCAGGAGTCTCACTTTCTTCAACTTGTACAAACAAACTCATTTTACCAGGGATTGACAGTCCAACTATGAAAGCAGAACTTTACTTTTACTGCTAATTATGCAAAGACAAGACAGGCTCTTCCAATATCAATCCTATGCCTTGGGCGACTCATTAAGTTTTAGATAGGAAAGCATTTAATATTTTCTAAAATCTAGATGATTGTATTCAAACCGTTAATAGGGCAGGTCCACCCAGCTGTTATAAAGTTTTTATTTTGTTTGTTTATGTCTTGTTTCGTTTAACTACTGGGAACATTTTTATAAATGGTCATGTCAAAATACTGTGCCATCCAGCACCGCGGCTCAATAGGCTAATCCTCCGCCTGAGGTGCTGGCACACCGGATTCTAGTCCCGGTCGGGGCGCCAGATTCTGTCCCGGTTGCTCCTCTTCCAGGCCAGCTCTCTGCTGTGGCCGGGGAGGGCAGTGGAGGATGGCCCAAGTGCTTGGGCCCTGCACCCCATGGAAGACCAGGAGAAGCACCTGGCTCCTGCCTTCAGATCAGCGTGATGTGCCGGCCGCGGTGGCCATTGGAGGGTGAACCAACGGCAAAAAGGAAGACCTTTCTCTCTGTCTCTCTCTCTCACTGTCTACTCTGCCTGTCAAAATAAATTAATTAATTAATTAATTAATTAAAAAAAATACTGTGCCAGATGTAAGATCTCTCCATTTCATCGTATAACTTCTCCAATATGACTGGCACCCACCTAATCCCTGACACAAATCCATAGCTGACTATGGTGACGCATGCCACTCAGAACTGCCTTGTTAGGATGGACAGGGCTCACTTATTCTAACAAATAAGATAGGAAGCCTGTTCTTGATCAGTTCACCCCACTTCATCTCTAATCACTCCAACGAGGTGGAGGATTGGCCGCAGCACAGGTTCAGGAATGAAGTGAGAATATGTTTCTTCACACATTTCTTAACAGGAAGATTTTAAAGATGAAATTGTAATATTCAAAGCCATCTAAACACATTCCCTAATCACAGTGCCCATGCAGGGAAGCCCAACATCCTTATCTAGACAGGGCTTGGAGTAACCACCATCTCAGCTCTTCTGTTCCACTGAGATATCCGTGAGGGAACAAACAGGGAGGAAGCAGGGAGACGGAGCTGCTGCCTCTCGTGGCTCAGGCTGCGCTCGGTCCCCTCCCAGCGGAAAGCCGCAGCCCCAGCCGTCTGGCGCTGTCAGAGACAACGGCCGCCAGCAAGCCCAGGGAACCACGTAAGTGTTCATGTCTGCTCCTCGGGGTCTCGGCCAGAGAAGTGTCAGGCTGCCTTACCTTTGGGTTCCTGTGACTCATCATCACTATCCGAGCTGTCATTACTCACAATATGCTTTGCTGTTATATTTTCTGTGGAAACAAAACAAAAAAAAAAAATTGAAGCATCTCAGATGTCAAAACTCTCAACTGAATTTACTATGAAAAAGTCCTGCAGAATGAGGTGGGTTGGAGCTACCAGTATGAATGTAAATCAATTAAATACATCTAGGCTGATTAATCTACTAGTGTTTTCACGTTTCTTACTGGAAAACAAATTTCCCAGGACATGAAAAATAAATTCATTTAATACATTCATTTTTAAAGGGGGAGAATTTTTATTTGTCTATATTAATTCTGACAAGAAAAACAATCTAATTATAGCAAGTTCCTTAACACAGCAAAAAACACATATTTTTCTTCTATTAAATATTTTAGAATGTGAAGAACAGATTCTTCAAAATGAAAAAATATACTGATATAAATCACTTTTTGATTTTCAACAATACTGAAATCTGCCTATTGAAATGCACCATTTGGAATCAAGAACCTATCAAGAGGTCAGCTATAAAAATGAAAATAGCAACCATGAATCTTTTTATTTTTCAAAATACAGTAGCAAAATCTAGCATAAGTTGCTTTTTTTTTTTTCAAGGAAAGTGTGTCTAAATTGTAGGGTAAGTAAATCATTGTCATGATTACTGTTTGTCCTAATCACAGAAGTCAAACTTTCTTCAGACATAAATCCTCTCTCAATAGTGACTTTTCCCTTTCCACTAGTCACTAGAATTTCCTTTTTAATTTCAAGAAATTAACTCCTGGGGCCGGAGCTGTGGTACAATAGTTTAATCCTCCATCTGCGGCACCGGCATCCTATATGAGCATCGGTTTCAGTCCTGGCTGCTTCTCTTCCAATCCAGCTCTCTGATATGGCCTGGGAAAGCAGGAGAGGATGGCCCAAGTGCTTGGCCCCTGCATCTGCATGGGAGACCCTGAAGAATCTCCTGGCACCAAGCTTCGGGTCAGCTCAGCTCCTGCCATTGCAGCCACTTGGGTAGTGAACCAAGTAAGAAAACCTCCGAAATATCCTAAATATCCAACTCCAATGGAACATGGAAGATCTTTCTCTCAGTCTCTTCCTCTCACTGTCTATAACTCCACTTTTCAAATTAATAAATAAAATCTTAAAAAAAAATAGAAACTAACAAAAAATTCTCAAATTTCATCGACAGAACCATTTTGGAGGTTTCGATCTCAGGGAAGCATGGGTACGATGGTTGGGTTCCTTATAATACTCTGTACGTTTTTACTATACTCACATAAATGGCAGGTACACAAATGATCAATGGAAAGGCTAATAAAATCTTTTAAAAAATAAACAAGCTGGGGCTGGCATTGTGGTGTAGTGGTTACGATGCTCCCTGCAACACTGGCATCTCATACGTGTGCTAGCTCATGTCCCAGCTGCTCCACCTCCAATCCAGCTCCCTGCTAATGCACCCGGAAAAAGCTGCAGAAAATGGACCAACTGTTGGGCCTCTAACACCCAACTGGGAGGCCTGGATGAAGTTCCTGGCTCCTGGCTTTGGCCCAGCTCAGCTCTGGCCATTATGGCCATTTGGTCCATTAGCCAGCGGATCGATGATCTGTCTCTTCCTTTCTCTATAACTCTGCAGCTCGTGTTTTTTTGTTTGTTTGTTTGTTGAAGATTATTTATTTAAAAGGCAGAGTTACAGAGAGAGATGGAGAGACAGAGAGAGAGGTCTTCCATCCAGTGGTTCACTCCCCAAATGGCCGCAACAGCTAGAGCTGGGCTAGTCTGAAGCCGTGGGCCAGGAGCTTTTTCCAGGTCTCTTACAGGGGTGCAGGGTCCCAAGCACTTGGGCCATCCTCTGCTGCTCTCCCAGGCACATTAGCAGGGAGCTGGATCAGAAGTGGAGCAGCCAGGACTCGAACTGTTACTCATATGGGATGCCAGGATTGCAGGTGGCAGCTTTACCAGCTATGCCACAATGACAGCCTTTTGTATTTTTTATTTTTTTTTAATAAAAAGACTTAGTTTATTAGTTTGAAAGGCAGAGTGACAGAGGGAAAGGGAGAGACAAGAGAAAAAGAGATCTTCCATCCACTGTTTTACTTCTCAGTTGGCTCTAACAGGTGGGGCTGGGCCAAGCTAAAGCCAGGAGTATGGAATTCCATCTGGGTATCCCACATGAGTAGCAGGGGTCCAGTAACGTGGTCCATGATCTGCTGCCTTATCAGGAACATTAGCAGGGAGTTGGACAGGAAGTGGAGCAGCCAGGACTCCTATATGGGATACCAGCATGCAAGTGGTGGCTTAATGGGCTGTACCACAATGCCAGCCCCATAATAAATTCTAAAGGCATGATTTTAACTATGAGATTCAATAAAATCAAATGCTCACAGGCTATTACTATTATTCATTTCATTCATAACTACAACAAGTTTATTGTGTAAAAGAGGAGAGGTATTAGGAGATGATCCATTCTGGGTATTATATACCTTACGTATGTTTCTGGTTCTACGTGTATTTTCTCTTTTTAAATATTTTCTTCTTTTTGTTTTGCTCATAATGGATACTCTGCTTTAAGAGATTATTCACTAAAATGTTATCTTCTCTTTAGGGAAGTTGTCCTGATACAGCCTGCTTCAGGCTCTGAGCACATACGCTTGGGATCGCTACCGTTTATAACACACAGCTTCATCTTTTCAAGGGCACACATTGCTCACGTCTAAAACTCCTTGAAAAATCATTTCATCTAGAGTCACCTCAGTGAGGCTCAATTTACCTTAAGCCTTTTTTCAGAATGGAGAAACAAGCAGGAAAACAAGCCCCCTCTGAAGAGCGGCCGTGGACCTCGCTCAGCCAGAGGAGGGACAGTGCCCCAGAGCCGAGTCTCCCAGGAGGGCTCAGGACCCCTGGATCCGCTCTGGTTTCCTGACTCCATCCAAGGGGACAGGCATCCTGCTGACTCACGTCACCTCAGCGGCTCTCACTTCTGGAAGTCCCTCCATCTGACACAGCACAGGGACAGCAGCTGCCAGACTGCCGGCCTCAAGGGGAACTTCTCCACAAAGAGGCTTCTCAAAACCGTTAAGCAAAACCCTCCAACTTTCCCTTGGCCTTTAGCCATCGTCTCGCCCACCTGCAGATGTGTGATTCCAGTCCTACTCTCTTCCTGCCTTGGGAGAAAAACACAACAAACCCTGTTATCTGGATTATTCACAGAGAAGCAGCACAGGAAGAGGGCCTCCTAACATGTGGCTCTTCTTCTTTTTTTTAATGCTTACTCTTTTTGTCCCTTGAAGTTTTCACAGTCATGTAGAAGAGTTAGGTATTTCTGAAAACACTGCAGTTGAGAATGGGACATTCATCTGCCCTGCCTACAGTGCTCATTTAAATAAATCGGGTCGGACCATGTCACCATTTCACTCCTGGCCTTGCGGTGACCTCCACTCACAGGGTATGGTGGGCTCAAAAGTGCACCTGCCATGGCAGAGTGACGCTGGGGGGACAGGAGAGAGCTCGAGCACAAAGAGCCTTTTTTGTTTGCTTTTATTTATTTATTTTTAACATTTGGCTCAAGTTAAATCAGAAGGTTACTTTTCCTTCACTTACCAGGAACTATTCAAAAATACAAATGACACTCTTGAAGAAAATACTAAGGACTGTAGAAGTTCACTGCTCTAAATACAAATATCAACACCAAATAACAAAAGCATCCTGACAAGAGGAGTGCTAATGCTGTTTATAGACCATCTTCTAGTATTCTAATTAATGCCTTCTCTTCTGCATAGAAACCTTCATTACATCAAAACCCCTGCCCATGAGCAGAGTGCTCAAATCCTGCAGGAAGCTTTCTGCATCGATGTGCTCTCTCACATGACCTGACTATGGAGAAAGTCATTCCTGCTTTTCTGTTAGCTTCTCTGTTCTCAATAGAACTGTGTTACTTCACAAATGGAGACAAGAAAGTAGACAGTCGTACTGATTGCCCAAAGGCTACCTGTCCCTGGTCCTTGCTGGTCTGGCCAAATTCCTATCTAGCATTCCACGGCTTTTCTCTACCATCACTTAAAACAGCCATAACAATACTTAGTGTTGACTGCAATGCAGACGGCAAGGATTTTGGGAGATGCTGAATGTATGTTTCATTTTGTTTGCTTTTAGTCAAATTTTCATGTAAGAAAATATGTTTCTATGGTATACTAATGAATAAAAACCACCAGTCCTCACTTGAGTGTATTTATTTTTGTAAAGTTTTATGTAAATATCATTTTTATTATGAGCTAATGAGTTATATTCAAAGAAAATCATTATTTTTAGTTTACTAGCAGTGACTGAATTTCTTCCTTTCTTTGTAGTATAAATTAAATACACAGTGCTGGTAGAATTCTACTAAGCTAGAATTGAGGGGTAAATAAACTGTGACAAGCATGAATTTATCTTTAAGTGTCACACTTTGTTCAACTGTTGATGGAGCTTATCTTTAAGAAGCTACCCTTGTTTAATAAAAATAAAACTATATAACAAAAATAATATGCTAAGAAGTACAACAAGGCAAATGAATGGAGAGGCCCCAATATAAATTATTCTTAAGCACTAATGGGTTTTATGAATTCTACAATCTCAGTATCACAGTAACACTTATGGAGTAACTTACATATGATTTCTAGGAAATAGTTAAGTGGACTCAAGCAAATTATTGCTAAATTTTAAATAATTAAAATCTTTATGAATATTGAATATTCTCTCTATAACATATATCAATGTAGCATAATTTTTATACATGTAAGCACATTTTTACAATACCTAGTTCTTCCTCCATTGTGGAACCTTTATTATGTGAACCAGACACTCCCAAGACTCTGTTAAACAATATAGAAAAGGCACTTCCCCAGACACCTGAAATAAACCATACACAGAGAGTACAGAGAGTTAGTCAAAATATACCAGATTTTAAAATAGTCAAACAAATTAACAATTGGTTTTGATCACTTACCCATTAAGAAATGCAAGGGGTTTTCTTCATACTTTTTCACAACTGTTCCCATAAAAAATTTGCTTCCAAATAAGTCAGGAGCCATGAAAGTACCGTATTTAGCCATGCCAATCTCATATGGACTAAATTCAACCCAATCTGAAAGCATTTGAAACATAAGGCATTCCATTAACAGGAAAATGCTATAGAGATGTACACAGTTAATGAGCACTTCAACAATGTCATGATTACTCTCAATCACTTATTTAAAATACACAAACAAGGGGTGGACATTAGGCACAGCGGTCAAGTTGCTGCTTGGACTGACCATATCCTATATTCCCAGTGCCTGATTGGAGTCCCAGGCTCTCCACTTCAGATTCAGTGTCCTGCTAATGCACCTTAGGAAGCAGCAGATGATGGATCAAATATTTGGGCCCCTTCTAACCACATGGGAGACCCAGACTGATTTCTGGGCTCTTGGCTTTGACCATGCCCAACCCCAACTCTTGTGAGCATTTGGGGAATAAACTAGTGAATGAAAGATATCTCTAGCTAGCTAACTCTACCTCTCAGTCTCTCTCTAACATTTTAGAAAATAATATTTAGAAAATATTTTAGAAAACACAAAATAAAAAATTTAAATAAAAACATAACCAAGTATTGACATTCTTGGCACTGTATAGAAGTCAGGAGAAAAGCTAAAAGCTAAATAAGATGAGAGGACACAAAATGATCCATTCTAATTTGCATGAATTGAATATCCTTTCCCATTTAAAAACTCAGACACCTTTATAAAGTCCATTTTAATTCTAAAGAATGGGAAACTGAAGGAGGTAGGAGAAATTAAAGACTCTCTGAAAGCACAAGTCTATAAAATGGTAAAAACAACATTTTCTTCATTTTCACTTATTTTGTGTATTAACCACTAATTCTAGCTCACAAGTTCACACAAGAAAAAAGTTTTTATGCTGGAGGTCTTATAAATACATGGTCAACAGGGCACAGCCCAAGCAGAGTGTCTGGATTCAAACCCATTGTGCCCCTCAGTCAACTCACTTCCACACTTGGACACATCACACTTTAGGTGTCTTCATTCCCTAACCTATAGTGTGAGTAGAACCAGTAGGTAGGTAGTTTGTAGGGTTGTTTGAAGGACCCAATTCAGCAAGAAATGTAAGCAACTTGGAAGAAGGCAGTGTGTATTACAATCATTCGCTAAAACGGCAGCTGCTATTGTATGTCATGTATCCTCCTGGTTACAACTGTATCTAAACCTTCCGAATCCAAATCAGCTGAACCCGAAGGGTCCAAAGAGAACTCCTGGTTTCTGACTCCCATTTCAACACTTGAGCCCCTTCAGTCTTTTGTTTCTTGGAAAATGGTATTACCACAGTTAACACTTCAGGATTACCCAAGGACGACTCTCCTCCCTTATAGCTCACATCCCCAAAAACAAGTGTTATAGGCTGTATCCTTGAGCGTGGTTAGGACCTGGTCACGACCAGACCCGTACAGCTGGCCTGCTCTCTGCCCCGCTCCTCCACATTAGCCTCCTAAAGTGCCTCCACTCGGTTCCCCTACTCCTCTTCTTGCCACTGCTTATGTTTTTTTAAAACAAAAACCACAGCACACCAATGTGTTTCCAATGACTTCCCAATACAATGGAACTCCAGGCTCCAGGATGGCGTGGACTCACCCCACGTGCCCACGTCTCCGCAGCACTCTCCCGTCATTCTGCCTTGCTTATTCCACTTGAGAACACGGGCCCCTTGGGGCTCCTCACAGGGGCTGAACTCAGTTCCACCTCAGTGCCTCATCCTCACGTTGCCTACTTGTTCCTCCTTGAGTGTTACTCCAGGGTCTTTGTGGGCGACCCTCTATAAAGTCCCACATCACCTCACTCACCCAACACAAAACGCTTTGTCCAACTTTTGGATCATTTTCTTTCTTTGAGAAATTATAATAGATCCATAACCTCTTTCACAACAATCCGAAACCCAAATAAAAACAGAATTCACATGCTCTTTTTGTTATTCGCTTGGTGGTAAAACCTGATCTGAACTCATTGAGAGAGTAACCACTGTTGAAATGAGGGAACACTCTTCTCATAAGCATGCTTTATGAAGGAAGTTAAAAATCACAGTTGTGACGAGATAATGCTACAGTTCATTTTCAATTATAGCAAAAGGCACATATAACCACGCTCAGAAAGTGATGTGCTTTATAATGATTTATGTGGAGTTAGTGAGCTATGACTAGCCATGAGTCAGCAGCTATTAGGAAAATTCCTGTGTCAGGGCACATAGTTGCTATCTCTGAATTCCACACCTATCTTGGGACCTGGAACATAAGCCTCCTAGGGCCAATTTTTATAGTGACCACTTCTTCATCACTGCTGTGTCTGTGCGCATAGCAACCAGGGGTTCTCTCAAGAGCTAAGCTACACGGTCCACTCACAGGAGAGGTGAGGATGCAGCTACTGCTGTCCCGCAGCTGACTCACGCATTTCAGCTGAAACCTTTCCTCTGCACGTCCGTCGCTCACGGCCCACTTCCTGTGCGGCACTTACACAGGGTGCTGTCATCACCTCCCACCACACTGCCCCTCCTGGCCCAGCCCCTACTTCTGTAAACTACACTCTCACAACCCAGACAGGTCGTTTGGTTTTTTGTTGTCTTTTTCTGAAACCACTGTTTTACTCCATCAAACCGGTCATTACCTCCCCACCGGTGACTTTCAGGTCTTTCAGACCCATCTGCTCTTTTACTTCCTTATCAGTGTCTCCCTACTCCCAGACCTCATTGCAAAAGGCCAGACACATCCCTGCTTTCAGTTGCTTTCCTTAGCCATACACCATGAGTCATCAAAGTGCTTTTTTCAGTAGTGCTGCTCAAATCATTTTATTGCTCTGCCCCAAGGCATTAAATATTTTCCATTATCATCAAAATTAGGTAAAACAATTTCTGCCTGGAATTCAAATCTTTCCATAGCTTAGCTCTAAGGTTTTACCCAAATATACCCCTTATTCTTCACCAGTGTGTGCACAATTCCTGGGCTGGTTGTTTTTTAGTGACTTACAAAACAAACAAGAAACAAAAGTTTCCTGTGAACATTTTTTGTAACATTTCCACAGAAAGATGGATTTTAACCTCCACTTGATAGATTCTTCCAAGTTCACCTTGAATTCAAATCCTATCACCCCTATAAAGTCTTTCTTGGACCTGTACTAAATCTCTCCATTACCCTTACCAGGTATAAATACCTTATCAAATAATAATATTCTAGGTGTGTGACTGTAATTTACCATGTTTTATTTTTCTCTCCTTAAGTGGGATTGTAACTTTCTTGAAAAGTACTATGTTTTACTGCTATCATCCTGCCAAAGAATTTAGCATGATGCAGAGCCCACAACCATAAGTCATGCTCAGTAAACACAATTTACTCAGCAATGGACATTTTTAAATGAAAGTTCTAAGTCCTCCCAGCAACGTAGTAGAGTGGAGGAGCCAGAAGGACTTAGCAGTTGAAACACTGATGTTTATTTTTTGAAAATTTTCCAAAAGGAAAGGTATTTAAAATTATTCCACGGGAGAAGAGAAACATTCTGTGGTATTGAAGTCCAGTTGTTGATAAGACTTCTGGAAGTTAATTTGGCTCTTCGATATTTTAAGTATATTTCAGAGATTATGTGAATGTTTTCCTCTATATAACCATTTTCAAACTAAGAATCTTCAGAAGGAATAAGTATAGATACGTCTCCATTCTTTTTTTTTTCCCTCAGCAACTCAGGTAAAGCTACTAAAACTCACAGAAGATGCACCTGAACATGTTCATCTGGATACAAGACCCATGCAACTAAGGGAGGACACAGGGGGCCGGCGCTGTGGCGTAGCAGGTAAAGCCACCGCTTGCAGTGCCGGCATCCCATATGGACGCTGGTTCAAGACCCAGCTGCTCCATATCCCATCCAGCTCTCTGCCATGGCCTGGGAGCATAGAAGATGACGAAGGCCTTGGGACCCGCATGGGAGACCTGGAAGAGGCTCCTGGCTCCTGGCTTCAGATCAGCACAGCTCCGGCCATTGCGCTAGCTAGGAAGTGAACCAGCGGATGAAAAACCCCCCTCTCTCTCTCTTTCTCTGCCTCTGTCTCTCTGTAACTCTGCCTTCAAATAAATAAATAAATCTTTTTTTAAAAAAGGGGGGGGCACAGCTCAGATCACACAGAAGGCAGACAGTGAAGGTCAGTGGTGAGCTGTCGTCTTTGTGTGGACCTCAGACAGGTGGATGCCCGAGTCGGACACATTAAGGTCCAAAGACCACAGCTGTAGATAAAGCAGGCTCCTCTCACTCTAGGTGAACCCAACTCACTCACTCACTCAATCATCAAACCATCATTTACTTTTTTTCCTTAATTCTATGTATTTGTGGTGTACAGAGTAAAGATCAAATCATGGTAGTTAGCATTTCTGAGTCAGGCTTCCCCCTGAGAATGACTACTGAGTAGAAGTTCAATACAGAAAGTGGCCACTGTGAAGAAATGATAACAACACTAATAATAGCAATAAAACTACTGCAGTCTTCTGGGATACCACAGCTGATGCCCTCATAGCTCCTTAGCATGGTCTGACGGGTAATAATATGATGGCTTTTGTTTTTAATAACGAGAATCCGATATTGAAATCGAATTGAAATTGAATAATGAGAATCCGATATTGAAAGATCTGCATGAGATATTTCAGCTTAGAATTAGGAAAGAAGGGCCAACACAGAACCTAGTGCTCTTCTGGCCTTATCATGACACTTCATGGAGGGGGCAGGGGAGAGGATTTATTGGTCATACAGAGATATCTGACAAGCATGATGGTGCTAGTTCCCAACCAATTCAAAAAAAAAAAAAAAAAAAACTCAAGAGCTCACAAGAGAATAGCTACCTAGCTACCTGGGGTGGGGGGGGATAAACAATGACACCACAGAGCCTAGAAGCTGCACCTCCCCCTCTACAGGCTCCCTCACAGTCAAAGCTGTGGTTCTCATTCTCCTCACTTCAGAATGGCTAAAATCCAAAACACAGAGATCAGAAAATGCTGGTGAGGATGAGGACAAAGGAGACACTTACACACACCGTTGGTGGGAATGTAAATTAGTGCAGCCACTGTGGGAAACAATGTGAAAGATGTCTTTAAAAAAACTAGAGGCCGGTGTGTGGCTCACTAGGCTAATCCTCCCCCTGTGGCGCCGGCACCCCAGGTTCTAGTCCCAGTTAGTGCGCCCGATTCTGTCCCGGTTGCCCCTCTTCCAGTCCAGCTCTCTGCTGTAGCCTGGGAGTGCAGTGAAGGATGGCCCAAGTGCTTGGGCCCTGTACCGGCATGGGAGACCAGGAGGAAGCACCTGGCTCCTGGCTTTGGATCGGCCACAATGCACTGGCCATAGTGGCCTCTTGGGGGATGAACCAACAGAAAAAGGAAGACCTTTCTCTCTGTCTCTCTCTCTCTCTCACTGTCTAACTCTGCCTGTCAAAAAAAAAAAAAAAAAAAACTAGAAACAGATTTCCCATATGATTCAGCAATCCCACTACCATGTATATAACCAAAAGACTTGAATACAATTATCTAAGAGATACCAGCACCACCATGTTTACACAGCACTGTTTACAACAGCCAACATTCAGAATCAACCAAGGTGTCCATCATCAGATGAATGGATAAAGAAAATATGGTAGGTATACACAATGGAATATTATTGAGCTACAAAACAAAATGAAAGTCTGCCATTTGCAGCTAAATGCATGCAACTGGAGGATGCTGAGTGAAATAAGCCAGACCCAGAAAGGCAAATGCCATATTTTATCCTTTATATGTGGGAGCCAAAACTAGAAAGAAAGAAATATCTGTGTGCATCAGTATTGCTGCAAAAATAGTTTTTTAAAACTCTTTTATACCTCTGTCAAACCAATGGTTAAGAATGTTTTACTACTACAAATTTAATGATATGTGATTGTGTTACAATTTACTATATATGGGTGAAATAGTCATTTTGGGTGCAACAGTGATTTTTTCCATTCAACTACTGCTTATAGCCATTGCCTATATTCCCAATAAACTAGGGTCTTTTTACTGGTTAAACTTTTTTTTTGCATTCTCTAGTTTCTGACCTTATTTATTTATTTATACATTTGACAAACAGTTAAAAGGAGGGAGGGAGGAGAACAAAGAGAGAAAGAGAAAGAGAGATGGTCCACTCCCCAAATGGATTACTTCCCAAAGGCCACAATGGCTGAAACTGGGCTGCTGCGGAGCCAGGAGCTTCCTCCCAGAGTCTCCCACCTGGGTGGCAGGGGCCAAGTACTTGGGCCATCTTCCACTGCTTTCCCAGGCTCATTAGCAGGGAGCCTGGATGGGAAGTGCAGCAGCCAGGACTTAAAACAGTGTCCATAAAGGACGCTACGCCACAGTGCCAGCTGCAAATTGAACTTCTTATTCAGTGAAGTAGTAAGCCTTTTTATTGTAAAATAATTTTAAAAACTAACTAAAAATAAAATAAAAACATGAAAAAAAGAAAAAAGATAAAAATATTTTTAAAAAAGGAATGGACTTTGTGAACTTGACCTAAGATATGTAAGTAATACTATATCTGCTTAGGGCCTTTAAAAAACATTGAAATTAGTTTTATAGATTGTTAAACAGTTTATAATATCATTTCATATTAAAATAAAAATATATCATTGGTATTAAGAAAAATGAAAGACTTACTGGAAACTTAGTTTGGGCCTGCCACTGCTTTCAGGAGTCTACACACTTTATCCCATTTTTATTATTGCTTACAAAACACTGCAGGAGGGTCTTGTCCTTATTTAGCTGATGACGAAACTGAGGCTAAACAGGTTATACAATCTGGCCACGATGACAGTGTATCTGAATATTCCTATCCTCTCCCATGTCTTAACTTCTTTTCTCCTTTTTAAGATTTATTTATTTATTTGAAAAGCAGAGTTACAGAGAGAAAGAAGGAGAGATGGAGAGCTCCCATCCACTGGTTCACTCCCCAAATGGCTGCAATGGCTGGAGCTGGGCCAGCCCAAAGCCAGGAGCCTCTTCTGGGTCTTCCACGTGGGTGCAGCGGCCCAACAAGTTGGTCCAACTTTTACTGCTTTGCCAGGCCACCAGCAGGAAGCTGGATCAGAAGTGGAGCATCCAGCACTCGAACTGGCGCCCATATGGATGTCAGAGCCGCAGACAGTGGCTTTACCCTCTACTCCACAGCACCAGCCCCTTGCCTTAACTTCTTTAATGATTACTCTAACTTTCTTGTGCAGACTACAGAATGGGGACAACATGCAAAAGAGGGGAAGAGGGCCACCAGCAATGTCCAGCCCACCCCACTATCATGCTCAGAGGAGACAACACTGTGCTACAAAAATAATAAAGGATTTTTGGACCACTTCTCAGCATTGCTAATTCTTTTTTGTGTGGCAATAGGCACATCACTTAATCTTTGAGGTTTTAGTTTTTGTTTTGTGAAGCAGAGCTAAAAATATCCACCTTGGTGGATCGCAGGACAAATGAAATAAACTAACAAATGCGATACATGCTTTCTGAACATTATTAATAAACACTTGCTCAATAAGGGAATTCAAATCATTGAAAATTCTTGCCTGAGAGAAATCAGTCAAGAAAAACACTGATACAGTGAAATTGCAAAAGGATTCTGGATATAAATCTGCTAATGGCACTCCATTTGTGATGAGCTTTCTTAGGCTCCTGGTGTGACTGATCTCACTGAGATACTTTTCCTAAAGATAGGACCAGTCCCAGCAGCCAGGGTCAGCAATGCCCCTGCCCCGAGGGCCAGCCCCAGCAGAGCCACCAGAAGCATGACACCGTGCACCTGCGCAGCACCTATGCACTGAGGCCACGTGAGCAGAGGAAGGGTCACCATGATCCCTCGCCCTGCAAGGCATCTTCATCTGCTGCTACGAGCACAGACTGGGATTCTGCAGGTGCTGAACTTGAGAAACCAGAATAGCACTTCGAAAGACAAACACACCCGATTAATAAAAATACAACCAGCAAGTAAAAGAACATGCATTGCCTGAAAGCATGATCTCGTCTAAAGTGACGGAGGAGTGGGTAAAACGGAGTCAATGGCTACGTCCACATCTTATTTCTCCAGCCTCATGAAGATAAATTAGTTACTGGATTCATGGAACGTTCTCTACCACTGGCAAGTCACCTAGCTTGATATTTTCAAATGTCCTTACGTTACAGAAAGTTTGTTAACACGAGCACCCAAACCTGCTCCTGCCCTCCCTCGAAAGATCCCTGGAAACCACGGGCTCCGGGAAGTGTGTGGAGCCAGGGAGGACGCACCTGCGAACATGAGCTCAGAGACGTCGGGCTTGACGTGCAGGCAGGTGAAGAGCGGCAGAGGGCACTGTGCACTGCTGACTTTTTCCTTCAGGCTGCTCAGGGTGGTGTGCATCCTCTGCAACACAGCACAGAAAGCCGTGGCTTGAAAGACACGTACAGCAGGACTTCCAGCCAAAACACTTCACGTTTTACAATACAGAGAAGTCACTCCTTCTGGAAACCTGTGGGTCCTGCGTAAAAAGACTACACACTAGCTCTGAGAGGAATTATCTGCACCCTATTCTGCCTAATCGTCAGACAAAACCTCACGCTGTGGTCACGTGCCAGGTGCACTCGCCCCAGCCATCCACCTCCCTTCCCACTCTTTCCAGGTAATGTCCACTCTTCTCTACTTTTAAAATATCACTGTACTTACCTCCTCATCTCAATGACTACCATTCTTGGAAGAAATGGGCAGTTAGGATTAAAAATATGAATTTTCCAAAGAAAAGGAATATGAACCCCCACCCCCACCCCACCCCGCAATCAAAGCAGATATTAGTTCGGTCAATTAGGACACCTTAGTTTGAAGTGCTGAAGAGTTTATAACTTCTGGCAAGGCAGCGGCAGCTATAGTGTCTGCCGTGGACACATTGTTGAACGAGTGAGTACAGTGATGTTTACAAAATGAGCCATACTTCCTTTTATTTAAAACATCACGATATTTTTGTTGTCTACTTGTCTTAAAAGGATGGCACATTGAACCAGAACTTACATTGTGAATTAGCGTTTCTCCTATTAACATCCCAAAGATATCCGTAAAGGTGACAGGTTGGCCAGAGCTTTTCTTCTTCCATAAAGACTCCACATATCTTTTAACCTTCTGCGGTGTGAGAAGTAAGAGGGGGTTGTGGCTAACGTTTTTCATTAGCTCTTCGTTAATCTCCTGTGGCCCTTTCTCTGGAAAATCGGGGTGAGAATACAAGGTGGACATGTACCTGTAGAGAAAACAAGACATCACCAGTAAGGGTGGAAGGCATGACACAGCAGTCCTCCGACAAAGCAGGCAGGAAGACACACAGAGGAGGGAGGGATGTTTGGTTAACTGCATTCTCTGACTGAGACGTTCACCTAATTGAAGAAAGAATGCAATGGCAGAGAGGAGCTGGCCTACAACGGATGCTAAGCAGAGGAGAGGCCTGGAAGGAAGCACTGGCTTCCCACGCAGGGCCTGGGCGAGGCGAGGACCATGCCTCCTCCAGGGCTGACTGCTCCATCTGGTCTGCCAGGAATGGGTACCTCTCTCAGACTGTGAGAAACAGGGGACCCGTCAGAGGCATATAAATAAATGGGTTTGTCTAGATGTATTACCAGTCCAGCAGTTTAATCTGACTTTCCACTGTGATTACCTTCATGTAGAAAATTCACTGTCCCAACTGCTATGAATGACTAATTGTCTTGACCATTTTTTTTAGTCATCCATTGGCAAACTAGAACAAAATCCCAGACCCTGTCAACTCTAGGTCTCTGAATTTCTCAGCATGCTTCTCTGAAGGCCAAATCTGGGAGAGGGATCAAGGCTTTGAGGTAAATGCTTTCTTGTGGATACTCTTAGCCACCAGCCATTCGGCAACTTGGAGGTAACACTGGAAGTCACCAAGGGCCTTGACATTTGATGTCTAGACCATAGACATTCAGTTGTCACCTCCTTTCCTACAAACCAATGTTTCTGGCATTATAGGTCTGAGGCTGAATATTAATTACTTGCTTACTCATCTGTCACCCTCAATAAACTGTGACCTCCTTCAGGTCCTGAAATAAGGTGGTCCTTATTGGTGCATGTTAGCATAGTCTGATGAACTCACAGAACAAACTAAATGAAAGATATAAATGCTCTACCACTTCATCCAAGCAAAGAGAAAACATCACATATTTTTTCCTTGGGATTCAAATAAAAATGCCTGTCCTAAGGGTTTCTCTTCCTACAGGGGCCAGAGAGCTCCCACTTTGTCCTAGCACTGGGCTGGTGAACTGTTCATGGGCTATTGTCTGGAAGATGCACAGTGGCTTTCAGTTCTTTTATTTTAAAGATGAGAAAAGGAAGGATTGGTGAATTTAAATAATATGCTCATATTCCCCAATTAATGACAGTCACTGGAATTCAGGATTTGCCATCTTTTCTGAAAGGCTTTACTTTTCAAATCTGTTATGTAAGATTTCAATTCTTTAAGATTTACTTATTTATTTTGAAAATCAGAGTTACAGAGAGAAATAGAGAGATCTCCCATCTACTGGGTCACTCCCCAAATGGCCCTACCAGCCAGTGGTGGGCCAGGCAGAAGCCAGGAGTCTCATCTGGGTCTCCCACATGGGTGGCAGGGGCATAAGCATTTGAGCCTTCTTCCACTGCTTTCCTAGTTGGATTAGAAGTAGAGCAGCCAGAGCATGACCCGGTGCCCATGTGAGATGCCGGAGTTGTAGGTGCTAGGTCACACCACAACACCAGTCACAAGATTTTAATTCTTAGAAACAAAACTATTCCTACTTCACAATAAATTGTAATTTCTTCTGGGAATCCAAGTTTTTGGGAGATGAGTTGGGAATAATGCCAGGTTAATAAAAGGGGAGTGGCCGGCGCCGCGGCTCAATAGGCTAATCCTCCGCCTGCGGTGCCGGCACACCAGGTTCTGTCCTGGTTGCCCCTCTTCCAGGCCAGCTCTCTGCTGTGGCCCGGGAGTGCAGTAGAGGATGGCCCAAGTGCTTGGGCCCTGCACCCGCATGGGAGACCAGGAGAAGCACCTGGCTCCTGCCTTCGGATCAGCGCCGTGCGCCGGCTGCAGCGGCCATTGGAGGGTGAACCAACGGCAAAGGAAGACCTTTCTCTCTGTCTCTCTCTCTCACTGTCCACTCTGCCTGTCAAAAAATAAAATAAATAAAAAAAATAAAATAAAATAAAAGGAGAGTAATGAAGGGGCAATGAAACACAAACTCAACCAAAAAAAAAAAAAAAAAAGAATGAGAGAGAAAAATTCCTTAAAGGGCTTTTTTTGTCATGAACAGACTTCATAACTATTCCCATGCATGTAGTAAAGGTAAATCAAATTAACTTACTCTGAACTTGAGCCTAATCGCCAAATATTTATTTAAAAAAATACAGCTTAGAACATATGCAAGATGCAGTCACTCATTCCTATAGTTATTTCAAAGTCTGCAAAATGATTCACCCAGACCAACGCAGATGTGATTTTCTGGACCTTGTCATGCTTTTTAAACCAATGCACACACTGATGTTATGGCTTTGGCTTATACTTAAGGACATCATAAAACAGGAAAATAAAGTATGATCACACAAGGTAGTCACGTCTGAAAACAGTCAGGATATGGCTCAGTCTTTATGGGAACACGAAGAAGAAACTCTTGGCTCTCATTTACCAGGAATAATTCCATATTCATGGGTCACTGGGTTGCCCTTAATTTGTTAAAAAAATATGTATCTTGCCACTGTACATAGTTTGTATTTGCCGTGAATTCTAGAAAGCTTAAATCCAAAACTGTGTTGCATGTCTCCCAAAGCTAAACAACAGAATTTTTAAAACTTTTTTAAAAAGATTTCATTTCTTTATTTAAGAGGTAGAATTACAGAGAGAGGAAGAGACAGAAAGGTCTTCCATCAGTTGGTTCAGTCCCCAAATGGCCGCGACGGCCAGAGCTGGGACAGTCAGAAGCTAGGAGCCAGGAGCTTCATCCAGGTCCCCCATGCAGGTGCAGGGTCCCAAGTATTTGGGAGCTGGATTGGAAGAGAAGCAGTTGGGACATGAACCAGTGTCCATATGGGATGCCAGTGCCGCAGGCAGAGGCTTAGCCTACTATACCACAGCACCGGCCCTAACGACAGAAATTTTTAATATAATTTATAATTACATTTTTCCTCTTCTTTAATTTGTCCTTAATGTATGCAATAAAGTTTCATTCCATAACAAGATACATTAATTCCTTTCTATAATGAGACAAGATCAACATAAGGAGAAGAATGAAAGAATATCAATAGGCATCACTTTAGTCACAATGAATTTTTTAAAGTCAGATGAAAGGAAATGATATGCTCATTCTGTTGGGAGCGGCCATATCTAACTTCATAGAATGGTATGATTATGCAAATCTGTTTATGTTACATGAATTCCCTCTCCATCTGTTCGTTGATCTTTAAATGAATCAATCTGTGACTGCAACATGTACCTCTGCCCAACAGATTGCCTCTAGCAAGATTTGAATGCTCTTTGGTGGTTGTTTTTTTTTGTTTTGTTTTGTTTTGTTTTTCCCTTACTTACAATCTAAGAAAACCTAGGACTCCGCACTGTAGTTTCAGAGGTCATTCTTCCAAGGGGGCCAAAGTGTGTATGGCTCGCAACCCAGCCCTCTCTTCTTGTTCCATACAGGATGCGCAGTGCATTGCTGTTCTCTAAAAGTTTAGGCAAACGTATTCATTCACGCTCTCTCTTTCCTTTCTCTCCCTCTCCTCCTCTCTCAAAGAGCAGCTGTCTAGGGAATATGGGCCCTAGTGAGAGAAGACCCAGAATACGCGAAGCACTGGCATCGCGTTCATGGTTTTTGCTTGATTGGGTATTTACGAACACATATACCTTAGAGTTTGCAAGTGTGGGTTGGACAGCCTTTCAATGATGTCATTGCAATTACACCCAAGACTCCAGTCTGGGATTTAGTGATAGCCAAAGACGGATTAGCAGGCAGTAATTACTTTTAGTGTGGAGCTCTATAAGCATAAATTGCTCTATTTGCTGTGTTTCCATGGTTGCACCAATCAAGATTCATATATTATTGGTTTCTGTGAGTTTAAAACTGTCTAAAACACGTAACTGTCATCCAGTTTCTCACCACATAGTTAAGCCTAACCATCTCTTTGCCAGTAGATGATTCTCAATGATACCAATCACGGTTCGAAAAGTAGGCATCTGGAGGTGGCTGCTGGGTACAGTGGTTAAGTTGCTGCTTGAGATCCCTTCAGCCTTATCTAGGTGTCTGTCTGAGTTCTGGCTACTGAGCTTCCAACCCAGCTTCCTGCTAACGGGCACCCTGGGAGGTAGCAGGTGACAGCTCAAGTGCATGGGACCCAGCCACTCATGGGGGAGACTCAGGTGGAGTTACAGGCTCCTGGCTTTGACCTGGCCCAGCCCCGTTGTGGGTGTTTGGGGAGTGACCTAGTAGATGGAAGATTTCTATATGTTTCTCTCTCTGCCTTTCAAATAAAATTAAAATAAATAAATTTTAAAAAGCGGATGCTTATTTCCCCATAAATCCGGAAATATTTGTCTCTAATATAGCAACACATTCATACAATGGGATACTTAATTTTCTCCACATATAAGTATTTTTGGTTAAATGTGAAATTTTCAAGGCAAAGTCATGCCAGAAAAGAAGAAATTTTCATTTTAGTCCTTGATGCCAAAAGCACATGACTTATGTTTTAAAACACCAGTGTTAGCCCCCCAGGGACTTGCTGAATCAGAGTCTACATGAATACACATGCAGACTTTATATGCTTTAAAAAATGCTGAAAGTGATTCTCGTAATGCAATTAAGATTTGGAATGACTTATAAGACAGTTGACATTTGTGGGGCAAGTATCCTGATACCCCAAGGAAAGCCCTGGATTAATTTTTCCTATAAAATGAAGCTGCTTATGTATATTTTCATTTAGTCATTAAACAACCATTACCTCAGGCAAGCCAAGCACTGCACCAAGAGGGAGAGATTCACTAGGGAACAGGACAAGCTTAGTCCTCACCCCAAAGCACATATCTTCTCTCATGTCTCTCTTGATCCATGAGCTTGTCACTTCCTATGTGACAACATGGGGTAAAATTTCTTATTGTTATTAAATGTTCCAAGAATTCTTGTTAAACTTAATTCTTCCTGCTGAAATTTTGTTCTAGTTAGTTTAGTGAATTGGGTCCTCTTATCTATGCATGCAGAGATGTCCCAAGCCATACACAAATGGCTGCCAGCATCCATCGCCCCTTATGATGATACAAGAGAATGGTGGTAGCCCTGAGTGAGAGAACACAGGTCTGCTCTCACAGTCTTCTAGTTCCATCCACGTCAGCTCTCCTGCTCAGTGAACACTTACATTTCATGAATCGCAAGGATCATTCAAAAATCACTATAGAAATAATTACCACGAAGGTAGTGGCATTACAGGGGAAGCTCTGTCATGGCTACAGTCCTATTTTGTGATCACACAAAACTTTCTGGGAGGTCTAGGGCTTCTCCAGATAGTTCCGCATTACCTCACTTATGCAAAATCATGGTTACGGATCAGCAGAATGTAGTTACACAACCCAGAAGTGTAATTTGTTTTTCTAAGTCTTTCCGAATTCCTTCCTTTGAACTTCTTCCTTTCTCACCTATACTCTTCGAGAGATGACTGCCAACATGACTCCTCCTGACCACATTTCCTCCTTCTCAGGAAACGTCTCTTCCTTCTGCGGTGCACACCTTCACCTGTCCCTTCGAGCTCTTCACATCCCGTATCTGCCTGAGTCTTTTCCTACCTACGATTCCTCTGTGTCTCTGCCTCCACCCTTCCCGCCTACTAGTATCCTCTATCTCATACTTCTACAAAAATGCTCAAGGCTCTTACACTATAAAGAACAAAACAAATAGAAACATTTCCCAGAACTCTGCAAACAGCAACTGCTCATGCTGTTCCTGTCCAACCGCAGTGCCTGAAATCACGCACAGCTCATTCCCACGGTTTTCTCTATAACTTTCTCTTCTCCTTTTGTTTTTACAACTGCATGGTTGAAATTACCCTTTATTTACTTTAACTTCATGGCTCTTGTTAAAACCACCAATGCTCGCCAAACCTAGGCCTAAGCTAAGATTCTGGCAAATGTTCAATCCTATGTCTTAAAAATACTACTTCGTGAAACCCTCTCTGCCCTTGCCCTTTGGAACTGGTCTTTTGCATCATTCTCCTCTCTGGCAGCTTCTAGACAGTGTCCCTTAAGGGTTTTCTTCCTTCTTTTGTCTACTAAAGTTTTGGAAGTTCTGAGGTTCCACCAATTAAATTCTTGACAGCAGCAGCTGCAGCAGTAGGACTTGGACTTACCAAGAAAGGACGTGGGGTAGAGCAAGGTTCTGGAGGGAAGCCTGCAGTCAGACGGGAAGGAGTGGAAGCAGTGAAGACAGCAGGTGAGAAACTCGAAGAGGAGATCAAACTCAGAGAGCCTGACAGGGCCTAGGTGGATACGAAAGGACCAGGCAATGTGGGAAAGGCTCAACCCCTGCCCGCCAGAAAAAGAAGCCAAGGGAAATGAGAACTGCAGAAGGCACCACTGCATTGGAAAGTCAAGTAGCCTGCCAGTGAAAGCCTATTGTGAGGACTCAAGGAGTGGGGCGTCGTCAAGGCAACAGAATAAAAAAAAAGGAAAGTCACTTTAAGGAAACCAGATTTTGAAGACAGCCATTTGTAGATACACAGATGTGTCTGCACACTTAAATTCTCTTAATTCCATTTCAAAGGACATATTCCCAAAACCCCTGGAAAGAGAATGTAAGAAGACGTTGCTCAAATCTATAACCAAAGCCATGCCTGCAGCCTGCTCAAGCCCACAAGGTACAGGACTACAACCGCCCCATCCGCACTCCAGCCTGGTCTTTCTGCATGAGTCTCAGAGAGTGAGCTTCTTGCTGCTATTAGTCACTGACGGACAATAGGCACCCAACTATGAAGTACAGGGAATGAAAACCACCCAAAGAATGAAAACAAAACAGTCGAGTGGGCGAATTAACGCAAAGGTCCAAGTGTTCCCATCACATTACTCACTCAACAGGCAGGTGCCTGCTCTTTCCTGCAAGGGAGAAAATAATGATCGGCAACACCCTGCTTTCAGAGGAGATAAATCACGCAGGGGCCACTCACAAGGAGGCAGCACAATGGCTTCACTAAAGAATCCAATTCAAAATATTCATGAACTGCGTATTATCTCCACAGCATACGGAGCTGTCCAGGCGAAGGCAGGTATGAGACGCCCAGGTTTGTGGGCCAGCTCTGCTAGTGATCTGGAATGGGTCACTCCACTTCTGAGTGTAATTTCCTTCTTCTGAGAAATGAAGCCACCTGCAGCCTTGTCACAGGAAAGACTGACACAGAGACGTTCAGCTGTGCACTGACCTGTGCACTACTACGATGATAGGTGAGCTCCGTACAGCGGAGAGACTCCGGTCTCGAGTCAGAAGTTTTGTGATAATCAGGTGTTATTCATATCTGAGACATCTGAGCAAGGGCTTTGATTTGATTGCCAGTGGGCTTATGTGAGGCAGGCAAACCATATTGTGCCTTCCTTCACAATATGTTCTATTTGTGGAAAGGGCGAATCCATGGGATAGAAACATTACTCATGCAGATGTTATGACTCTCCCTCAGAGCTTCAACACATCCAAAGGGCTCGTTTCATGCTTAGTTAATTAGCTACAAATCAATAAAATTTATTGCATTTCTGAATTCAAAAGTGCTTTTCCTACTTCTTGCATTTCTTTCTATTTGCCCTAAAGAAGAAAATGAATACACAGTGAATCATGTAGACTTAGACATGTTCGCTGAAGGAAGGACTACACATCAGCAAATAATAGGAAGATTAAATTAATTATGGGTGGAGTGTGTTATTCCATTTCTGTGATATGCATCTAGAATTATATACAATTTTGGAAAATTTTATGTTTTAATGACATTTTAAGTTACAAACAAGCTTAAAAGGGATAAACATAGATGGCAAAAGTCATCATCAGGTGTACATACATTTGTCTTAAAAACATTTTAAGTAGATTAGGGTATTAAGCTGGAACATTTCGGGAATTTGAAGTTAAATTTTCTAAATCCTTTTTCTTTTCTAATGTTTGAGTTAGAGAAATCCTAAACATTTAGAATGACAGAACTAACATTAAAAATGCACACTAACCATGTGGAGCCAGAAAGACCAGCAATGTAGGTAGCACAATCCAAGATTCCTGATTCATATAGTGCCTTCATCACACCGGAGAATCCCACCATGGCTCGGAATCCCCCACCTGAACCCAATATGGCCACCACAGGCACCTGGAAGGATGCAACACAGAGATTGTATGCACAGTAGAAATTATAGCATATGTTACCTTTTACTTTAACTTTCTGTGGCATATATTCCACCTTGTCATTAAAAAATGTAAATTCATTTATACCTTGATAATGTATAATTTTTTTAAAAGCAGAAAATACTGTTCACATAAGAATACTGTTCACATATATCAAGTCTATAGGAAAGCAGACATTATTACATTGGCCAACTTACTTTAATAATAACAACAGCAATGCTATTCTATATGTGGCCACCTTTTGGCCATTTTTGGCTTTCTTTCAGGTGCATTGATTTATTTGATTCTCTGAGAGGTCCTGTAAAGCAAGTAGAAGGGATGTGTGTGTCCATTTTGCAGGTGCAATTCCTAAAAGGGTGATGCTACTTGTGTAAGCTCCGGTAGCTGATGATCTGTCATCTAGAGAGCAATGTGCCTTCAAGCTACATTGACAGGGAGTGCATTTAACATTTTTTTAATTTTTATTTATTTTATTTATTTTTTTTTTAATTTATTTGACAGGTAGAGTTATAGACAGTGAGAGAGACAGAGACAGAGAGAAAGGTCTTTGTTGGTTCACCCCCCCAAATGGCCGCCACAGCCAGCGCGCTGCGCCGATCCGAAGCCAGGAGCCAGGTGCTTCCTCCTGGTCTCCCATGGGATGCAGGGCCCGAGCACTTGGGCCATCCTCCACTGCCCTCCTGAACCACAGCAGAGAGCAGGACTGGAAGAGGAGCAACCGGGACTAGATCCGGCACCTATATGGGATGCCGGCACCGCAGGCGGAGGTTTAACCCAGTGAGTCATGGCGCCAGCCCCACCTTTACCATTTGGTAAGGGATCTGACACCAGGAAAGAAGAGAAGGGGGTGGCCAGACTGGCCGTGTTTTGAGCTTTGCACCAAAGCAGATGACGTCATCATTGTCATTACCCAGGATGAGGATTTAAAGGCACAGTACCAACTATGTGGGAAATAGTGCACTCAACCTTAGAACGCTGAATACACAGCATGCCTGTACTGTGTTTCAAGCACCTGGAACCTGACTCCTAAGTATCCACTTAGCAGTATGTAGTAGGTGTACAAAGGGTCTTCAAAATGTTCACAGAAAATACGCATTACAGGCCGGCGCTGCGGCTCACTAGGCTAATCCTCCGCCTGTGGCACCAGCACCCCGGGTTCTAGTCCTGGTCGGGGCGCTGGATTCTGTCCCAGTTGCCCCTCTTCCAGGCCAGCTCTCTGCTGTGGCCTGGGAGTGCAGTGGAGGATGGCCCAAGTGCTTGGGCCCTGCACCCCATGGGAGACCAGGATAAGTACCTGGCTCCTGGCTTTGGATCAGCGTGGTCCACCAGTTGCAGCGCGCTGGCCGCAGTGGCCATTGGGGTTGAACCAACGGAAGAAGGAAGACCTTACTCTCTGTCTTTCTCTCTCACTGTCCATTCTGCCTGTCAAAAAAAAAGAAGAAAATATGCATTATCTTTTAATTCTGTGTTCCATGGACCTTTTGAAATGCTATGTATTCATAGCGTGAGTATTTTACAACTAGAAGAGCCAAAAGGATCCCATGCCTCTTAAGGAAAAGGAAGTCTAGAGGTCAATACTCATTACAAGTAGGCCAGTGAATAGGCTACTGGGATTGGATTCCCAATGCAGAGCACTTCTCTAATACCAGGTAGCCTCAAATCCATGACACCCAGCTTCCAACTGAATGCAAGCTAGAGACCACACAATTAAAACATTACCCCTTCAGTATGATGGAGTAACTCAAATGGCTTTGAACCCATGTATATAACAAATACATTTCCCTCGAACATAAAATTTAAGGTGAGAAACTACATAAAGTCTATAATTCCTGGACGTACATCTGGAGGAAATCAACTAGGATAGGAAAATGCAGTGGGCTATAGTGTGGGCAAAAGGGTTATTAGTTGTAACAGTACATGTGAAGAAGACAAACAAGAAGTTAAAACAATGCAGAGGGATTTGAATAACGCCTTAACAAAGGATTGACGCAGTATCATCATCACCACCATCACCACCACAACCACCACCACCACCACCACCACCACCACCACCACCACCACCACCAAATACTTACCACTGCTGTGTGCACAGCACCATGCAAGACAGGCAGAAGCAGGAAAGGGTGTGTGATTTAGGGACCCACTAACCAGTCTTACTATTGTAGCAGGAATGTATTAGGGAGTTGGGGTGAAACGGCATTATAAAGGAATTTGAGGCAAAAAGAAAACAGTAAGATTGATATTGGAAAAGACAGAAGATTATTTTTTAATGTTTATTTATTTTCATCTACTTGAGAGGGAGACAGAGAGAGGTCTTTTGTCCTCTGGTTCAATCCCCAAATGATCAACAGCCGAGGTTAGGCCAAGCCAAAGCCAGGAGCCAAAACTCCATCAAGGTCTCCCATGTGGGTGGCAGGGACACAAGCACTTGGGCCATCGCTTGCTGCCTCCCAACATGCACCTCAATATGGGCTTTGGGTATCCCAAGTGGCAGTCTATAAACTACTGACCCACAATGCCTAACACAGAAGATTATTCAAAACTCATTTAGGAGCACATGAGTCTCTTGGTTTGGTCAATCATAACCTTGTATGATTGAATATAACAAACCCAGTATCAATAAGGTAATTTAAATAGAACTGTTAAATGATCTTAGTGGGGCAGGTGCATTCTGCAGTGGTTAAGTCACCGCTGGGGATGCCGGCATCCACACCAAAGTTCCTGGTTCAAGCGCTGACTTCTCTGCTTCTGATGAGCTTCCCGCTATTGCACATCTCTGCCACCCATGTGGGAGACCCAGAGGAGTTCCACCTCCCGGTTTCAGCCTGATCCGACTCTGGTGTAGGCACCTGAGGAGTGAACCAGGGGGTGGAAGAGCTCTGTCTCTCTCTCTCTCTCTCCCTGTCTCTACCTCTGCCTTTCAAATAAAATGAAAATAAGTAAGTAAATAATGTAAGTTCTTAGTAACTGATCACACTGTTCAACCCACAGCCCACAGCATAATCTAGAGGGAGATTTATAAGTTTGGAAAATGAACGTAAGAGTCCAATCCTGAGACAGCAACTCCCTACATGTGTTTTTGTTTCACCAACAGTCCCACACACACTTATAACAGCTCATCTTCTGTTGTTTGGAATATGCTGGAAATAGCCTCCTGTTCAACTGGAATTCATGCATTAGGTAACCCATTATTCTCATTATTTGTTTTTGTATTTTTAAACAAATTTTAACAGACATAAAAACTGTATCTATTTATTGGATACCTTATGATGTTTCTTACATGTATACATGGTGTAAAGTTCAATAAGAGTAAATATATTTATCATTTCAAATATTTAACTTTTATTTATACCAAAAATATCCAAAATACTACCTTCTAGTTTTTTAATGTGGAAATATACAGCACATCAGCTTATCTATAGTCCCTCTACTGTGTAATAGAACCCCAGAACTCCTTACTCCTATCTGATTATAACCTTGTTTTCATCAGTCAGCCTTTCTCGACCACCCCTCCCCACTTTCCCCTTCAGCCTCTGGGAATCATCACCAAATTTCTAACTTCTATGAGATCAACTATTTTTTAGACTCCACATATGAGTGAGAGGATATATTTTATTTAGCATAATGGCCTCCAGTTCCATCCAAGTTGTGGCAAATGACAAGATTTTATCCTTTTCATGACTGAGTAATATCCACTGTGCCTATGTGCAACACCTTCTTTATTGCTTCATCAGTGGATGGACACTTAGTTTGTTTCCATCTCTTGGTGACTAAATAGAGCTGCAATAAACATGGGAGTGCAGATGTCTCTTTGACAGATAGATTCCATTTTCTATTTCCAGTAGAGGGAATGCTGAATCAGACAGTGGTTTCAATCTCACTTTTTGAATAATCCCACTATTTTACACAATGGCAGTACTAATTTATTTACATTCTCACCAGCAGTGTGCAAGGGTTCCCTTTTCTCCTCACCACACTTACTAATTCTTTTGTCTTTTTGATAACGGCCAATTCCACTGAAGTGAAGTGATATCTCATTGAGGTTTTGATTTACATTTCCCTGATGACTAATGACAATGCACATTATTTTCATACACCGCTTAGCCATTTGTAGTCTTCTTTTGAAAAATGTCTGCTTATTTAATACCCTTTAAAAAAAAAAAAAAAACTCTGCACTATTTGTTTTAAAGGAGAATTTGGGATAAGAAAACTCAGATACCTGGGTTGTTATCAAGTGAAAGAACATGCCGTATATTTGTACATGATAGTAGAATAATCAAATAATGGGCTGTCAGATTATAATTACCTTCATTTATTCAGGGTGTGAATTTGACTATTTTCATACATAATTTCATTTAATTTATACAATCCCATCAGATGTATACAGGGACCCTCTCTTTAAAGTACTGAGACACAGAGAAAAATTCTCCAATGTCACAAAACAAGAAGGTGGTGTCTGGATTTTTTTTTTTGGCAACTCATAGAAATTAATAGCATTCTAGATATTGTAATTCATAAATAAATAAGTGTAAAGAGTACACAATTAGAGGTGTTTATGAACAATAAAAAAGAATGGGAAATGAGAAACATCACAGACGTACAATGTACTTGGCATCCTCACATACACTTTCACACATTTATTTAATCTTCCAAAATCTCCAAGAAAGTCAGTTTTGTTTTCCATTTTCAAAGGAGTTGAGCACATGTGCCACCTGCCGACAGATAGGAAGCGAATACATAGCACAAGGGGGATGTGCACTAAGCTATGACTGCGTGCGTATTCTCGCTCTTTTTGCTGTATCATTGCCCAGATAACAGAAGTCAACTTTATTGAGAGAATCCACTGGATGCTTAGTCAAATCACAGTTCAGATTCACGTAGGACTTCAAACAGTATCCGTACAATGTTATGCAATACGTGTAAATGCAGGCTAAGTCTGGACGTTTTAATAGTCTTGGTCATTCTAATACAGCAAAATAACTAGGAAGTTATAAGGTGCAGCTGTTAGTCCTGGCTCTAATTCTAATAGAATCAAATAAACATTGTTGAGAAGGTTTAAGTTATATTTAGAGCTAATATCGTGAGTACTTGTGTATGAATGATGTCAGCAAATATTCCTCATACTTCTCTCATGTGAGTACAGGAAATGAATTTTCATTTACTAACAAACCCCATGATTTGATTTCATTTGTCTTGATACATGGGCTTACAGATAGGATTCTGTCCTGATACAGAGGCTTACAGATATTACTAATTTCCTCCCTTGCGAAAGAAAATTCTAAAGAGCTTAAGAGTTTTTAGGTTTTCGTAGATCCGACAATTACATAAAGACATTTGTCTTCTTGGCCCCTGTATTACTCAGAGTTTTCAGCAACAACAACAACGGAGCTAATAGGGCGAGAATACAGGCAGGAAGAGACGCAATGCGAGGAACTGGCTTGCACAGCTATGGAGGCTGGCAAGTCCAAACCTCCGGCGAGCTCCAGGCCCAGGCAGGCTGATGATGCAGAGAATCCCTGCTACTCCGGGAGGCCTTCGGCTGAATGGATGCGACCCACCCGCACGAGGGAGGTAACCCATTACTCAAAGTAAGCAAACACTGCCACCACAGCCCGCTTCCTCCACGGCTGCTGGCAAGTGCGGCTCTGTTTGCTCCTCCCGGATCCTGTTCACCAGCAGCTCTGTGCTCCTCAGAGCCTGGGCCCTCGGCCCCTCCTGGGGCACACCCCTACGGACCAGAGTCTGGGCCTCTTGGGTCTCTTCTCTCTCTTCTCTCCACTGCCTCGAACAGGAAAACATCAGCTCCACCTGTTGAGTCCGGAAGCCTGACCCGTGGAGGGCTTCATTGTCCTGCACTCCACCAACAGGAGCCCTCAACTATGTGCCCTTCCATGTCTACGGCCCAAAAGAAGAAGAAGACCGACAGTCCCAAGGGCCCTAGGGTGAGGGCAGAAATGGAGGAAGCACATTCTGAAAGAAGGAAACAGCAGACAGCAGAGGAATGATCACTCTTCCCAACTCAAGGCCAGCTTCCTCCTTCAGAAACCGCGCGGTTCCGCTGCCCCGCCCCTCACTGGTTCCACTCTCCTCTCTGGGCTTTCACTAATTCATTCCATGAACTTCGATGTGGGCAGCACCGGAGCACACATCTTTTAGGTCCGCTTGGCCTCACAAGGGTTCCAGTTGCCTTTGTTAAACCTGGAATACAGTCCCGCAGTCTTCCTCACAAAGCACTTCTCGGCAGACTCTAAGGCTGGCTATTCCCGTCTCCCGTTTTCCATGTCACTCCAATCTCCAGAATCCAGTTCCCAAACCGACTCCGCCCCACGTACACATTTCAGCTCCCTCGCGTGAGAGACTGCAACCCAGAGGCTTCATCGGGCTAAAAGCTGCTTTACTACAAGGAAACTGCAAGTGGCCTGTTAGTGGCAGAGATGCCACATGCCCCCATTCAGACTCTCCCTGGGAACCACTTCCGTGAGTCCACAGTGGAGAAATGGCACGGCTGGACCAACTACTCCACCGCAGGCTGGCTTATCCGCTCCGAATTCCACAGCCACCAAGTCGAAAGAGAAAGTGGGAAGTGAGGAGAAACGACTCTCACTGCACACGTAGCGTGTGGAAAAACGGCAGCTCGCTGGCGAGGAACCAGACACAAGAGACGAGAATGCCCAAGTCATCTCCTTCTGAGCGAGGATTGCGTATTACAGCAGACTTCCACCAAAATAATCTTTTTAGCAAAGTCTTCATGCTCTGCAATCTTAAACTCTTGAGTTACCAGAAACCTTAATGACTTGACTAGTTCATTATCCAGGCAGGAAAACACAGGTTATTAAGTTAGGCACTTGCTGCCTCTGGCTGCTATGAACAGAAGAGCAGCACCCAAGAGTATGTATAATGGCTACTGTTTTATTGAGTAACTACTATGTGCGCTGCACATTTTGCTGAATGTTTTGTAAGCACTAGTACCCAGCCTCTTATCCCTGTAAGAGACATTATCTCCATTTCACTCAGAAGACACAGAGCTAAAAATTAATGTGATTTATGATTTTGAAAATTTATTCTTATTTAAAATCATTGTTTTAATCAACACTGAGGTCCTAAACCAAATGCAGTCCATGTGCTGAAAACTGCAAGCCAGACAGGTGCCGTCTCCGTAAGCAGCCCAGAGGACTGTTGTCCTGAGGACAGTCCACTCCCCTGTGTACCCCGAGGAGCTAACAACCTGACTGGACAGAGTGAAGATGAAGGCAGGAAGTAAGACAAGAGGGAGCTTCAGAGACCAGGAGTCAACAAAAGGCAGAAAAAAATTTACTTTTCTTATGAAAATGCGTGGTGCTGATTTTGTCAAATCTGATTACTTTTTTCCAAGACAAGGAAAAAAAGAAGCATAAACCCAAACAGCAATAACAAAAATTTTAATTCTAGAAGTGACTTCATATTTCCTATTTCCAACAGATTTTCCAGAGTTGAGGCACAATTACCTCACTCCCCATCTGGTGCAGAAGAGCTAAGATACTCTCATTCGTACGGACATAAACTAAGCCAAGTCTTATTTTCCCAGGAAGACTTCGACCCCTTTCCACAGTAGAGGAGTGCCTCGGGGCTGGGACCACAGCACTCCTTCAGAAGAACCTAAGGACCAAGGCCACAAGGTGTCTGCATATTTCTTTTTTTCTTTTTTTTTTATTTTTTGACAGGCAGAGTGGACAGTGAGAGAGAGAGAGACAGAGAGAAAGGTCTTCCTTTGCCGTTGGTTCACCCTCCAATGGCCGCCGCGGCCGGCGCGCTGCGGCCGGCACACCACGCTGATCCGATGGCAGGAGCCAGGAGCCAGGTGCTTTTCCTGGTCTCCCATGGGGTGCAGGGCCCAAGCACCTGGGCCATCCTCCACTGTACTCCCTGGCCACAGCAGAGGGCTGGCCTGGAAGAGGGGCAACCAGGATAGAATCCGGCGCCCCGACTGGGACTAGAACCTGGTGTGCCGGCACCGCAAGGCGGAGGATTAGCCTAGTGAGCCGCGGCGCCGGCCTGCATATTTCTAATTCCATTCCAGCTGGGGTCTTTGCTTGACACCCCCTCTCAGCCTCTGCTTTCTAACAACCTGAGTTTGGGGTTGCTGAGATCCGAGGCCCTGCACACCTCACTGTGCACTCATCAGTGCCAAACCACGGCCTACTTGCGCGCCCTGTCTCCTGCGACACAGCGTCCACCAGGGCTCACCAGGCCAGGACTCAGGCTGGATTCTGGGACCACACACAGAGATGAAGAACACGCGTGCTGCTCTGACAGAGAAAACAGACACGCAGTCTGCACAAGAGCTTTCTAAGTGCAACTGCCGAGAAGCCAATGCTGAGAATCCAAGATGTGCCATGCGGAAATATAAACCAAGCCTAACTGAGACTCTGGGGGAGGGAGGCAGGAGTGGATGAAGGGGAGGGTTCCAGAAGTGACCAGTGTGCTCATTCAAGTATGGGGTGTGGGTGCAAGAGCATTTAGTCTGGTAGTTAAGACGCCCACATCCAGTGCTGAAGTGCCTGGGCCCGAGCCCCAGCTCTGCTCCCACGTCCAGCTTCCTGCTAATGTGGCCCCAGGAAGCATCAAGCGAGAGCTCAAGTAGCTGAGTCCCTGCGACCGTGTGACAGACTTGCATTAGGTTACTGGCTCCCAGCTTTGGCCCCGCCCAAATGGTGCAGGCATTGCAGGGGTAGACTAGCAGATGCGAGCTCCCTCTGTCTTCCTCTCTGTCTCTTTCTCCCCTTCTCTCAAATGAATAACATTTTCTTCCATTTTCACTCCACACATTTTTTGAAGTACCTTTGTTCCTTTGCCTTACGGGGTCTGTGTCTCTGGAGAACTCGAACATGGGGACATGTTAGGCACTAGTGCGAGTGTGGGAACAGTGAGTACAACAGAACTCTCCATAGTTCCGGCTCAGCTTTCCTGTAAACCTGGCCCTGCTCTAAAAAAGGAAAAACAAACATAAGGTGCCTGATGAACCTCTCCAAACGTGGGAAGCAGTCGAGACGGCCCTCTTCGGTTTCACTGGTGAACCACCTGCCTTACCTAGAAGCTGAAGGAATAATGCTTGACCCAACACTGCTATATTGGGGTGAAAGTTCTGAAGAAAGTATCCAAACAGAAGTGTCACTACACTGTGAGAACATGTGAACAATGTCCAACTCACATCGCGTGTGGAATACAGTCCTTCACTCTTCTTTGGACCCAAGAGTTTCCTCATGTTCTCTTTTATGTTCTCCTTTCTCTGCTGTCTGAAGGCTTTCTCCTGATCACACAGGGCCATGCTGAACCGGAGGTCTGGACTTGAACTACAATAAACAGACAGACAGACACCGTGAGCCAGAGTCCCCAGTGGTCTTGATTCACATCCACCCTGTCCCCGCCAGCCAGGAAGAACCTAATACAACGATGGCTAAGCAGTACGCTCTGAGGCATGTTCTCAGGAAAAAAAATCCAAAAAAGGAGTATGAGATGCTTTAGAAAAAACAAGCATGCAAACTGCACCTGCTAAATTGTCTCTCATGACAGAAAGACCTTGGGAAGTTCTATAAAGCATCCAGTCATTGTCTGTCTGCAGCAGGATTCCTCCCACCGTTGAACCATCTAACACACCAGGGCCTACCCTCTAAGGAAGACACTTGCAGAATCACCATCAGAAGTTGCCTGTTCTAATGGATGGTTTCTCTACAGTCCCCAAGTATTCATGTCCTGGAAACAGTCCCTGTTGATGTGGTGGGACCTTTAACAGGGAGCAGTCAAGCAGGCATTAGGTCAGAAGAGATTAGATCTGGTCTCAGGGAGGGAGCCTGTTCCCACAAGAGTCCATGATTATCAGCAGAACAAGACTGGCCCCTCCCCACCTTCTGGGTCCCTGTCTCACCAGGGGGTCCCTTGCTCAAGTGGCTGCTCCCATTCATTCTTCTGCCACACTGTGATGCAGCCCAGGGGCCCTCACCAGAGGTGGAGTGGATGGAGATCAACACTGTGGGCCAACTGAACCACTTCTCTGCATCCAAGACCCAGCCCCTGGTATTCTGCTGCAGCAACGGAAAAGAGACTAAGACGTCCCGCTGTGACTTGAGGTACACAGCTGGAGGACTTAAGTTATATGTCCTCTTCCCTTCCAGAAATGGCAGTGAGTTCTCAGAGACAAAACATGGTAACTTGTATATGAACCACAGCCACAGCGATGGGAGCAAACATCGCTCTTTATCACACAGGCGGAGGATTAGCCAAGTGAGCTCCGGCGCCAGCCACACTGAGATTATCTCAAGGATGTTTTTAATAAACTAATTACAAAGAGCACCACCATAAACACAGTATACACTTCCAGTAGTATACTCTAAAAAGAACTTCTCATTTATCACAATAGATATGCTGATAAAGTACTCTTTTCTTATTTCACCAATGAATAAAAAAGCTATGAGAAATCTTTCAACCATCAACATCATTAGCAAGTAGTAGACTTAACTCCAGGATTTCTCATTCTAGAACCCATGTTGTTTGTCATATACTATTTTTTAATAAGAATCATGATTTTAAAAAATAGTGTTAATGAACAGAGTGTTACAGGGTGTCAATAAAAAATCTGATACAAAATTCAAACAGTGCTTAGCAATTTTATAAATATAGTAAGAGGATTATGGTTCATTTAATTCTTCTTTTATGTACTATCTTTGCCTATTAAAGTTGTTTCTTGATTTTATGTTACATTTAATGGAAAGCATTAAAGAGGAATGTTTTTATTTAAATGAATGGAATTTTTCCTTGAAAAAGAATTCCTACTCTAAAGTCAGTACATAAATTAACACATTAAAAAGTGGGCTTAATTAAAGTTCATGGTAATACATAAAATGTAAACCACTTCTAGATAAATCTGCACCATCTAACTGAGTTTTCCCAACATTTTAAACAAGCTGTGTTACTGTGAAAACTCATTTATTCCACACCACATTGTCCTAATTTTCTCAGTGAAGATCATTTTCGATTTGAAATGGTACTGATCAATACCAGAGCCAGTCAAATAACAAAGATATTTTTAATCTCATGCCAAAAGATACCACATTTAAGCAAAAATCAACTTAATGAAAAATAACACAACATTACCAACTTGGGGTATCCTCTGATATTTTCTGAGGGGAGGTGGCAGAAATTTATGCTAAGCACTAAGTGAAATCAACAGACTTCAGGGATCAAAATAAGAGAGACGCCTGAAGCCAATGCACAGATTACCATACATCCGGCAACTCACAAGATATATGAATGTTAAACTAATGTGCATGGTGTCTATGTGAAATGTGTATTAGTGGCCTTAGTAAAATCCGCATCAGCAGGGAAGTTCAGAGACGGAGACAGGTCGTGGAAGGTGGAATCCACTGAGCTCAGCCTTAGACTAGAGATAGCTAGACCAAGACGGCTCTGGGTCCCCTTGGATTCACCACGTGAAAACATGTAAATGGCTCTCCAAGGTTCACGTGGGAGGTCGATGTGATCCAGCAACACACCTCATGGAACTTAACCACCTGTCACCCTGCTGAGCACCAGGAACACAGTGACGGCTTTCACGTCCTCCTCTTTATACAAATTACCATAGCTTCCTTCCACGTGCATGTCCATGTTCTGGTACCGAACTGAAACGATGGAAAGTCGTGGCCTGGGAAACTGCATTCGTTTCTTTGGGGAGCGTGTGGGCCTTTCATAAAGCACCTGGCTTGACATTTATTATTTAACCACCACTGGGAAATCAGGTAAAGAATATTAGAATTCTTTTAATTCTGAAGCTATTGTAAGGATGGTAAAGAAAAGCAATTACTGTACTTCTGTATATTCAAAGTTGTCAACATCCTTCCTATGTAAAAAGTATGCTCTTCAGTAAATCATTGGAGCGCTCACAATTTTCCAGCCAAGTAACCATTCACAGTGTTTTCTATCCACTTACCAAACTTCAAGAGACATTTCCAGAATCATTTCGGTGACCTACAAAAAGATACAGTCATCAGATTAGGTCTTTAAATGGCTGTTACATATACCGCAAATGCAGGCAAAATAAATTTTGAGTGCTAGATTATTACTTTTAGCATTTATTTATTTTTGATTGATGTGCAAACTTTTTTTAATGTTTAGCTTTAATTTTTAATTAGTTTTTAACCTATGAAAAATTAAAAAAGTCACACAGATAAACCATAGGTGCATTCCAACAAGTAACTTTTTGCTCTTTTTTACAATATAAGTCTACTTGATAAGTTATTTCAGCAAACATAAGAATTGTCTCTAACTGATCATTTTCCTCCTTCATTAAAAATGAAATAGTGCAGATCGACAGTTACAACCCAAAATGTAAAAAAGGCCTGAGACAGGGCCGGTGCTGCCACCTGCAGTGCCAGCATCCCATGTGGGCTCTGGTTCAAGTCCCGGCTGCTCCACTTATGATCCAGCTCTCTGCTATGGCCTGGGAAAGCAGTAGAAGATGGCCCGAGTCCTTAGTATAAGGCTGCCACAAAACACACCAAACAGCAGAGTAAGGGAAAGGGTTTACGGGGAGAAACCCAACAGACTGGAAGGAAGGGGAGAAGGAGGAAAAAGAGGGAGGAGAGCATTAGAGAAAGAGAGAGAGAGAGGGAGGGAGAGACAGAGAGAGAGAGACCAAGAGAGCCACGTGTTCAGGAACAATTCATCTTAAACCTTTGCTGGGGGGCTGGCAGGGAAGTAGGAGCAGCGAATCCCACGAGGGTGGGGGTGGAGCTGACACGGGTGGTTGGGCCATGGCGTCACCTGGTTTCCAGCCATGGTGGCGGGTGCTAGAACCTAGGATGGTGTCCGGGGTGTAGATCGTGCCATAGAGACTGTGCCATTTGACTAACACTTGGGTCCCTGCAGCCACCGGGAAGATCTGGAGGAAGCTCCTGGCTCCTGGTTTCGGATCGGCGCAGCTCTGGCCATCGCGGCCAACTGGGGAGTGAACCAGCAGATGGAAGACACCTCCCTCCCTCCCTCCCTCCCTCTGTCTCTCTCTCTATCTCTCTGCCTCTCCTTCTCTCTCTGTGTAACTCTGCCTTTCAGATAAATAAATAAATCTTAGAGAAAAAAGAAAAAAAGACCTGAGAGCTAAGAACTTCTAAGACGTTACAGCTATTGTTCAGGAACCGCCTCAGGTCACAAAATCAGAGGCCATGGTGACAGGAGGGTAAAGAAAGCCCAGGGGGAAATCCTCCATGTGCCTTGGGGACAGTGCATTCTCTAGTGCGCTGGACATAGAATATCCCTCCGTGCTGGGCAGCAGGAGCCAGGGCCCAGACAACAATGGTTGGCTCAAGAGACATTCACCAGTAGGATCTGGGGCCAGGATTTTTATTTTCCAGCACTACTGGAGCAAACCAAACACAGCAGAGGTCAGCAACCCACCTGAGAAACAATTTTGGTTTGATGGAAAAGATAACAGCTGGTATCCACAGAGCCAACAGGGTGTTAAAAAGGTGTCTGGGAGACTGTAAGTCCCATTCATACCTGGCGTCAGCTATGAATGGGACTAGTTAACTAGCCCTGGAATTAGTTTTAATGCAACTTTAGAGTATTATGAGAACCAAATGAGAAAATGCTTTAAACAGTGTTGGAAAATTGTAAAATTATGTTATGATTTTTGTATTGGTTCCCTTAAGAACAAAGAATGAATTTGGTCAATAACTTGAAATAAAATATAACTAGGCTACTAATGTGAAAAGGACAATTTAAAACCTCTAAATTGCTATCCATTATTAGTTTTGTTATCTTTTAGGTTTCATGGGTTGAAAACAAACCAAACTAGAAGGAGTTTACCAAAAGTTTTAAATAAGTACACAGGATTCTGTGAGTTTTGTGAGTAGGTAAAATATATTAAAAACATCTGTACAAAAATTTGCCTCGCCCACTAAACTGTAAGCTCTGTGTGTATATAGGTATCTATTATTTCATTACACAATCTCTGGCACACAGCACATTTTCAATAAATATTTGCCGAATTACTCTGTGAGATGTTTGTGTGTGTGTGTGTGTGTGTGTGTGTGTATTGGAGCAGACCAGGCAATCACTTCTTGTTGAGAAGTATCTCATCATTGCTAGAGAGAAAACTCGTGGGATGATCTCACCAAGGGAACAGTTCCCCGGCATGGAACTCTGTGAAGTATGTGAGCCTGTGTCGGCCAAAGCAGCACACCGTAATACCATTAAAGCAAACGGAAGAGGAATCCCCGGACAAATGGAACTACACACGCCCAGATTAATGGTAGTTCAGTTATACATCAAAAGTTTGATTGGCTACAAAATAGACTGTCATCTATTCTATTGATAGGAGCACTGCTCCAATCATACCCTAGCACATTTTGTCTCTTCCATGTTTCAAAACTTGTCATAGCCTTTCCCAAAGAGGGCTTAGAAAACACTGCATGTTGAATGGAACTGCTATCGGTAATCTTTAAGAAAAACAAGACACAGGTAAAACATGGTCTTTTCTGTTAAGGAATACATGAACACTACTAACATTAAGATGATATTAGCGGGGCCAGCGCTGTGGCATAGCGGGTAAGGCTGTGCCTGCAGTGCCAGGAACCCATATGGGCGTCTGTTGGAGTCCCGGCTGCTCTACTTCCAATCCAGCTCTCTGCTACGGCTTGGGAAGGCAGTGGGAGATGGCCCAAGTCCTTGGGCCCCTGCACCCATGTGAGAGACCTGGAGGATGCTCCTGGCTTTGGATCGGTGCAGCTCTGGCTGTTGCAGCCAATCGAGGAGTGAAGCAGCAAATGGAACACCCATCTTCCCTCCTTCCCTCCCTCCCTCCTTCCCTCCTTCCCTCCTTCCCTCCCTCCCTCCCACTCTCTCTCTGCCTCTCCTCTCTCTGTGTAACTCTGACTTTCAAATAAATAAATCTTTTTTAAAAAGATGATATTAGATTTACTGTTTTTATCCCCAGAGGGAAAAACTGTAACGGGTGAATAGAAATGAAGAGAATAATGCTACAGCTCAATAGAGTTTTCTAACCAATGAAAAGATTCAAAACCAGGAGAGGCCTCCCATTGCACTGTGCTACCTCCTAACAGAATGTGTCACAAAGAAGCTGACTTATCTTAAAATGCCCAATGTTTGAACATATCCAATATCTACTTGTTCTGACAATAAATACAAGGAAACTCAATCATGCTGTGTTTATAGTTGTGTTTGTCTTTTCCTAAGAATGTCCCTTCCATAACATTTCTAAGACATTCAAGATCCCAGATGGAGAGACAAGGTTCTTTATATCAAGTCACGATGAGAGAAGGGAAGACACAGGACTTCTCTGCCATTCTGACGCCACCGGATGTGTCTCCACCATCCTTGTCACCGGGTTCGGATCCTTACTTCCGCATGTTGCCTTAGGGGCCACCCACAGTGGAGAGGAAATTCTAACCTCTCCCACTTGGTGCCTATGTTCACAGTCTCTCCACACCTTCTGCCTGGAACCTGTCATTCAGATGAACAGCCAAAGACAGTCACTGCCTGTGAGGCACTCGCAGTCAGGCGACTGCTCCCACACAGTGCACTGCAGGGGTCCCCACGGCTTGCAGCATCAGGAAAATCAGAAATCAGGGCGACTGAACCTCCCAGGCTCCCTTCAACCACATGAGACTTTGCCAGGAACTTGAACAAACTAGAGGAACTCCACCTCTCCTAGGAATTACAAATGCAAGAAGCAGTCTAGGCCCACTGAACACCCTTGTGGAAATAAACGCTCTCTTCTTTGATTTCCACAATGGAAGCAATTTCAGAAGCTTACAGTGGGAGATGTTCACTTGGGGGAGTGGAGGAGAGAACAGAAATGATAAAAAGAAAAGTCACTGCAGACTTTAAGGTAAGTTTTAAAGTAGCCAATCATTAATACTCTTGAAAATGTCCAGAATCACTAGAATAATGAAGCTAAAGCAACATGCCTAGTGCGTCTAATAAAATTATTTCCAAAAAGATGCACAGTCAGCTAACGTTAAATTTGATCACCTATCCTTTAGTAAAGACATCCTTAACTACTCCATGCCTTCTCTTATGTGCCCCATAAAAATTATTTTGAAATCTGATCCCTAAAGTAAAACTGCTCTTACTTATTTTCTAAGTAGAAACAAACAGCAACCAATCACCAGTTGTCCAGTGCTCTGATTCTTCACATCTTTTGCCAAAATTATATAATATTTTCTGCTCCATCTGTATTTACCTGACCTGTGCAAGATAATAAATAGATATTTTAAAAATAAAGTACAAGATGTGACTCTCACAAGGAGGAAATTCAAGAACAGCAGAAATTACAACCCTGCCACACAAGCTAGATCACATCTGTATAAATTTACATGTTTAAAATGGAGTGAGACACTGATAAAGTTCTTTGTAATATATATAGCTTTTTTCGTAAGATAAAATTAGTATTTTCTGTCAGGAGTCATCTAACCCATCACTCAAAAATTCAGGGTAATTGGGGCTGGTGCTATGGTGCGAAGGGTTAAGCCATCAACTGCAGCGCCAGCATCCCACATGGGCACTGGTTCCAGTCCCAGCTGCTTTCCCGGGCCATAGCAGAGAGCTGGATAGGAAGGGGAGCAGCCGGGTCTCGAATCGGCATCCATACGGGATGCCGGTGCTTCAGGCCAGGGCGTTAACCTGCTTCGCTTTGACACAGCACCGGCCCCAGAAGACTTCTCTTAAAGTCAGGAGTTGTTGACCCACACTTGCACTCCGCTCTGCACGAGTATCTGTCTGCCTTCACATCTCGGCCAAAGATCTCTCCAGTGCTTCATGCGTGACAGGTTATGTTTCAATAAAGCTGGCGTATGTTGAAAATACAAGTTGGACGTGCATGTGATACACACAGCCTACCAAGCTTCCCAGCTTAGCGACACGGCACACTGTAGAGTGTGGGTGGTTCTCCTTCCTGACCACAGGGCTGATGGGGAGCTGTGCTTACTGCCCCTGTCTAGCACCCTCAG